TGTGTGTGTGTGTGTGTGTGTGTGTGTGTGTGTGTGTGTGTGTGTTCCATTTGATACAACTGCGAATGTTGTAAAGTGTATGCACGGATGCTTTGGGTTCCGCCCCCCCTGTGGTGAGGCTCCACGACTGTTAAAAATAACCTGACCCAACCTATTTAGTGGTGAGAGGGAGCTCTTGATCGCGTAGAAGGTCGAAACCATACCACTGAATGGGTTGGGTTAGGTTATTTTAAAAAATAGTGGAACTCCCCGCAGGGAGGGGCGGAACCCGCTGCAACCACTCATACACTTTATAACATAAAGCGACATGGAAGTTGCGAGCTTCTTAATACAGAAAGAGGTTGGGTTAGAGTCGCTTCGTGTGAATTTGTAGGTTCCGCCCCCTCTGCGGAGGGCTCCACTATTGTTCAAAATAACGTAACCCAACCCGTTTAGTGGCGTGAGGTAGCTCTAGTTTCGCATAGAAAATCGAAATCCACGTGCAACAGTGAAAAATAAAACATAATATTTCAAACTTTTTTTTATCATAACTTTTTAACGGACAATGACGCCACCTAAAATCTGCGGGAGGTTACTCAGGGTCATGACCTTGACAACATATGTCAAGGTCAAGGTCGTCGGGGGTGGCTCCCCTTTTCTATATATAATATTTACCTTTTGTTCATGAATTTGCATTCGACTTTTTAACAATTAATTATCTTACATTAATTCTTAAATTAAGTTCAGGATTAGAAACCATATAAAAATAGTACGATATCATTATAATTACTTTTTACAAATTTGTTGTTATATTTTGATCATGTAAAGTATTATATTTAAAAATTACATTATTTAATAAGCAATGTTAATTTTTAAATCATTACTAAAATTATGATTTGGTCTCTATATAGCAAATTTTTCTCTGTACTAAACTTATATGTAATAAATTTATAAATCTTTATATTAATATTTTTACTAATATAAAATAAATGGAGTTCTCTCAAGCTTTAAAACAAAAATAATAAATGTAAACTTAATTAGCGAGCAATTGAAAGCTAAGAATAAAGCAGTTATTCATGCGTATAATAAACAAATGTATTTAATCAAAAACGATATTACATTGAATTCGCAAGAAATTTCGCAAAATTTACGTTTCGGCTCCATTCGAGTTATCATTAGCGATATCAAACAATGGATACATTATTCACATCAATGAGGTCCGAATGAGCAGTCAGAAGAGCCTTTTTAATTCGATATTTTTGAGAAACGTTAATGCCAATTAACTTTAAAGTTAAGTGTGTCACTGAAGGTTGGCATACAACATGATTGAATTAATAAAATTATAAAATAAAAAATATATTAAATTCATTGAAAAAGTACTAACCAGCTGCAAAAACTCTGATCATACATAACGCAAGAGGAAAAAATTAATATTTTTACCTTTTAATACTAGTAATGGTTATTTTTATTATCAAATAAATGAATTCGGTAAAATTTATATCCGATAATGTCGTCAATCATCTGACAGAATTTTCTTTCTTTTCCAGTTCATAAAACTAATATCTGTATTGGACGATAAATTTTCCGCATGCAGCGTAAGTGTCAACGTTAAATAAATGCATTAATTAACAGTGACTTTATTACCGCCATTAATATATATAGCAATTTAATGTATTAAGTTTCTAATACATTTTTAAGAAGATAATGATGCTTCATTAATTTCACATTTTTATCCCTTGTTTATCTATTGTATGAGCCAATATAATAGAACAATTTAAATATGATTTAGTAACAATAAATAAGTAAGTAAAGGACTCTTATTCTCAAACATAAATAGAAACTAAAAAGACAAATTAAGAGTCAAACATTAAAAAATTTCTTTAATCACATAGTAAAAAGATAAAATAAATTAATATAAATTAACATGAAAAACAAGACTAAATACGAAGATATAAAAATATATACATAAATATGAAAAAAACAAGAACGAACTTAATACAAAAATAAAAAAAGCTTAATCATAAAACCTTTTATCTTTTTATTATGTGATTAAAAAAATTTTTTAATGTTTGACTCTTAATTTGTCTTTTTAGTTTCTATTTATGATTTAGTAATATTAAAACAAATAAGAAAAGAATAAATTCTGTAACAATAATATTTATTACAATTTATTGTTACATTCTCGTTTTTTGTGTAATTTAGTTTAGTTTGTGACTTCTTCAAAAATTTTGTTTACTTTAAAGTTAATTATTATCAGAATTCATGAATTATCCTTTATTAATTTTTATACGCATTCCGTAACATCATATATGTTTTATTTGGATATTTTTGTTTCTATTAATGGGCACTATCTCTGTAACAAAAATTAATTAAGTCTAATGTCTAAATAAATTAAATTTTAAATATTAAGTATAGATAATAATACATTTACATTCTTTATAAAAATTGTAAATTTATGTACTTATGCATTTTATATCAGTATACCTAATTTTATAGAAACAACTTTCTACTATAAGGTATTGTTATTGAAATGTATAATATATATTACTAATAGCATTATTTCATATAAATACAAATCATCTGTGTTATGCCGTATAATTCAATATTTATATCCATTATTATACGTCAAATTACAAAGAAGTATCGTCTGGAATACTATTTTTCGTACCGTAAAAATATTATCATGAATTGACATAGATAATAATAATGGCTTGTCAGCATACAAATGCACCTGAAAAATTAAGTATAAAATGCAGTCTATTCATGAAATTGTCAAACAGCAAAATGTATTCCAAAGCTATCGTGTCCCTTGCTTTCCTAGCTATAGCGATTGCTAATGGTAAGTCAATTTCCTCGATTTATGTGATATACGTACAATTTATAATTAATTTTATTTAAAAAATGGATCTCTAAGGCATTATAAATGTTTTCTTATTAAAAAGTTTTTAATTTATTAAATAAAAAAAAATAATAACTAAATTATTGTATTGTTATACAAATTACAGAGCAAATAGCAAAATTTTGTTTTTAATATAAAATTATTTTCTAAAATGATATTTCATAAAGAACTGACTTTGATGTGATATAATCAACTTCTCCACAAATGTGTTTTCTTAAACACTAATAATTTGAATTGTAGTGCAACCCCAAATCGACGTCCAGATGCCTATCAGCCCACGTTCTACTCCGTTCGAGACTCGTGTGGTTGGAGGTTCCGGAGCACCAGCAGGACGTTATCCATTCATAGTTTCTCTTCAAAGAGGCGGAGAACACTTTTGCGGAGGATCCATCTACAACGAAGGAACAATTTTAACAGCAGCACATTGTGTTGACAAAATTAGGAATCCAGCTGTTCTTACTGTCAGAGCTGGAAAGAATATTCTTTACACTCGGGAAGCTTCTGAACAAGCAGTTGGTGTGCAAAGAATACACATACATGAAAATTATAGAGGGTAAGCAAAACACGATAAAAATAAGAACAATTCAATTAATTCGTATTCAAATAATATTTGTATAATATGTCAGACATCGATGTTGCATTTACAATTAAATTTAACCATATTTAGAGATAATCTAGAATATATTAACTTTTGCATCAATAATAATCAGCAGTTATATTTATAGAATAAACGTACAAAAATCAAAATTACTACTACTAATATGTAATATTGCAACATTATTTGTCATTAATATCGTGATTAGCTAGACTTAATGTTATTATTATACAGAAAATTATATGTGATATTAGTAATACTGTACATATATTAGGAAATTGTATTTTAATATCTAATGAGACAAGTAAATTATATTTTGTTTTGATATACACATGTATTTTACTAATTCAGCAGATTACCAGTATTTTTTTTACAAATATTACCTTTTTTTTAGTCACGTTAGCATAAACACATATCTTTTTAAAATTGTATAATTAATAATTATATATAATTTTCTTTATAATGACCTATAATATATATTTTTAAATTTTAAGTGAGGTTCTCCCATATGACGTTGCTGTACTTAAGCTTGCATCTCCATTGAAGTGGACAAATATGGTACAACCCATCGAATTAGCACCTCCAGGAAGTGATCCAACTGGCGTGGCTTGGCTTTGTGGATGGGGCTCTACCTCGACTACTAATGTTCCAATAATGCCAACTAAACTTCAACATGTTCAGATGGAGTACGTCGATCGCGTAACTTGCGACAGGGCCCTCAGTAGATCGATGGGAATTTCTCGTTCTAGTGTTGATGAAACCAATGTTTGCACTGGGCCATTGAACAAACAAATTTCTGGATGCAACGTATGTGTCAGATATTTAATAAATTCAGTGAATGGATAGTAGCATTGTTGGCAATTGATGTAACAATTACATGAATCCTTTTTAATATATTTCCAGGGTGATTCCGGTGGTCCACTTGTCTCCTATGTAGGAGGAAAACCGTATCAAACTGGAATTGTATCCTGGGGTATTAATCCGTGTGGTTACCCAGGCGCGCCATCCGTATTCACTAGAGTATCTAGTTATAATAATTGGATTATACAAAAAGCTCGAAATTGATGATGGCAATATTGACGATATATGATTGTATAATACTAAATAAGAAATTACATATTATTTAACATAAAATAAATATTTAGCAAACATTGAAAGCAATGTTATTTTACTTCTATCCTCCCAAAGGTTGCAAGTAATGCGCTATTTGTTATGTCGTTACCGTCATAAGTTACTTTTTTCGGTAACAAATAGGTAACTACGTTACATTTTCTTCGGAGTAGCGTTCATGGTAACGAAGTGACATTTTTGGGGTAATGGTAACGATTTCACTGGTTACTTTTATCGTTACTTTATCTCTATCTACGTAAAAGTTTTATTCGTAATTAAAGCTATAGAAAAAAGAGATTCGACGTTAAAGGAATTGGTCTGATTGGCTCTCGTAATCACGTAATCACAACGCCCTTTTTCACATTGTATTCACAGTTCACACTTACATATAGGTTGCATTCTAGTTTCACCCATTATATGCATTGATGTATCATTTTATCTTTCATTAATATTCGGTGAACGATAAGGATAAAGTAATGTATCATTACGCACTATGCGTGAAACGGAACACACTTATAGGTTAACATGTATTGACTATAGTGATGAGACCAGCGAGATTCTACGTGAGATTCTATCCTAATAAATATAAATAATATTTTATATTGTATGTATATATTAATTAATAATTACATTGAATATACAGAACATTCTTGGCAAAAGAATTGCAACCTATCAAAATATGTATACCTCATTTACAATACATTTATCATAGATCTTTACTTTGGGAATTTGTCTTTAAACAATTATTTTGTTTATGAATTTATTTTCGACTCTTTAAACAATTAACGGATTTATTACAATAAAATTCAATAGTTCTATTTATAGCATAAATGTATAACAATCGAAACTACTATTAGTAATGTATTATGTAGCTGACATTGATATTAACACCGTGATTTCAGCGTTAATACTGAGGAATAGAAATTTATATCTGATATTAGAAATATATGTGTTATTAGAAAAATATATTTTGAATAAGTAATGACGCATAAATTTTTGTTTTTGACATTTATTATGAGATGACATGTATTATTCTACTAATTTTGCAGATTACTAGCAAATTTTGCTTATTACTGAATAAATTGTTAAATATTGTAGGTTTAATTTTATTTGTTTAAAATTAATTATTTTGATTAAAATAAAAAACATGTACTAGTATGAGCCTTCCAAGCGGTACGATAGCTCTATGAATGTACCACCAACAGTAATCCTAGTCCCTAATACTAACACATTAATGCAAACACGTCTTATTTTTCAAAATGTATAATTAATAAGTATTACATAAATTTATATACATATATATATGTATAGCAATATATATTTTCTAATTTTTGGTGATGTTAATCCATATGATATTGCTTTGCTATTAAATTGCTCCTTTATTAAATTAAAATTGAACAATAACGTACAATCTATCGTATATCGTATTAGCACCACCAAACAATGAACCAACTAGAAAGGCATAGCTTTGTGGATAGGGATTCACCTCAACTAACATTTTTCCCAAAATGTCAGAAAAATTTCAATATGTTCAGATGGAGTATATCGATCGCACAACTTGCGACAAAGTTGTCAGTGATCTAACGGGGCCTTCTCCTTTTTCTATTCACGAAACTAATATATGCACAAGATCATTGAGCAAACCAATTCTCGAAGACAATATATGTGCCAGATATTAAGAAAATTCAATGAATGATTGTTGCAATATTGATAATTAATGTAGCAATTTAATGTACCATTTTTTATATTCTTTTAGATTCCGGTGGTTTACTAATCTCGTACGAAGAAAAATCGGTACTAACTAGAATTGAGATTTTATATCATATATTACTTCAAACGCCATCCGTATACCCTATCCAGTTTCAATAACTGGACTTCGCAGAAAAATAGTAATTATAATCTGTTAACGATGACAATATTGATGACTTATAAATGTATAATACTGAATCGTTACATTACATAATACAAAATAAATATCAATCATAAATTTTGAAGTAATGTTCTTTTATTCCTATCTCCCCCCCCCCATATAATACAAAAGTTAAACAGAAATTTTATTGGATAAACAAAACATTTATGACCAAAGACATTGTCATTCTTATATTTAATGTATTTAACATATAATAAACTTTATTTTCTGTAATATACGTATAGTTTCAATGCTCAGTGAGAAATGATTAGTTGAAGAGACGTCAAAAATCCACATCCAGAAAACTACTTTTCGATTGAGAATGTGAAAAATTTAATGTTTTTGTATTACTTTTGTTTAAATGATTATAATATTTATTTTAAGTCTTTACCGCGTTTATTTAGTTATCTATGTATGTGGAATTTTATTTTATTTTAAAACGGAAATTGTAATCTATCATAATAAATCTTATTTACAATACTTTCATTGTAGACTTTATTTGGGAATTTGTCTTCAAACAATTATTTTGTTCATAAATTTGCATTGGATTTTTTAACAATTATCCTTTTAATTTTTAAATTAAGTTCAGGATTAGAAATTGTATAAAAATAATACGATATCATTATAGTTACTTTTTATAAAAATAATACTTTTTTGTTACATTTTGATCATGTAAAGTATTATATTTAAAAATTACACTATTTAATAAGCAATTTTATTATTGAAATCAGTACAAAAATTCTGAATTGATCTCTATATAGCAAATTTTTCTCTATACTAAACTTATATCTAATAAATTTATAAATCTTTATATTAATACTTTTACTCTTTAATACTCATATATGCTTATCTTTATTATTATCACTTATTCTAATTTAGCAAGTTCAGATGTAATACATTAATTGTACTTTTTGCGACAATGTCATCAGTCGACAGAATCATCTCTTTTTCCAATTCATAAAACCAATACCTGTATTGAGCAATTGAACGATGAAATCCTCGCATGTATCTTATAATTAGTGTTATGTAAATTTAATAAGTGACTTTGTTATTAGATTTGTTACTGCCTATTAATAGAGCAATTTAATGTATTGAGTTTTTAATACACTTTTAGGATAATTCTTGCCATACATTAATCTCATAAAAAGGTAACACATTTTTATTACGTTCATTATTTATTTCTTATTGTACATACCAGCAATAGAATTTGTAATTACTTAATTAATTAAAGAATGTTATAACTTTACAACTTATTAAAATACATTTTCTATGCAATTATATTTTCAATCAGTTTAAAATGCTGTTAAACAATGTTAATGCGAATGTAACTTATAAAAAAATAAATTTGGTAATAAAATATTACTGTTATATGTTCTCGTCTTATGTGTAATTTGTTTTGTCTCTTTTAAAAAATTTGTTTACTTTAAAGTTAAATCATTATCAAATTATTCCTTATTAATTACTATACACATTTTCTAACATTTCTTGTGTTTTATTTAGATATCTTTATTTTTAATAATAGGCATTATTTCTGTAACAAAAATTAATTAAGTTTAATGCCTAAATAAATTAAATTTTAAATATTAAATAAAAATAATAACACTTTTTCATCCTTTATAAGTGCTGTAAATTCATGTACTTACGTATTTTGTATCAGTATACCTAATTTTATAGAAGCAATTTTCTACTATAAAATATTGTTATGGAGATGTACAATATATACGACTAATGGTATTGTTTTGTATAGGTATAAATCATCTGTTTTATGCCGTATATAGCTCAATATTTATATTAATTAATGTATGTCAAGTTATAAAGAAGTATCGTCTGGAATACAATTTTTCGTATCGTAAAAATGTTATGATTAATTGTTGTAGATACTGATGGCTTGTCAGCGTACAGATGCGCCTGACGAAACAAGTATAAAATGCAGCCAATTTACGGGATTGTCATCAAACAGCAAAATGTATTCCAAAGCTATCGTGTCCTTTGCTTTCCTGGCCATGGCGATCGCTGATAGTAAGTCGATTTTCTCGATTTATACATATAATTATCGTACAGCTTGTACACAGTTTTGCTTAAAAAATAGTCACTAAAATGCTACAAAAAATTTCTCCTATTAATTAAAAAGTTTTAAATTTATTAAATAAGTAATAACTAAATTATTGTATATTGTTGTACAAATTACAGAGCAAATAGCAAAGTTTTGTTTCTAATTAAAAATCTTTTTCTATAATAATATTTCATAAAGAGCGAACTTTGATGTGCTATCATCGACATCTTGCATAAATGTTTTCTTAAACACTATTAATTTAAATTGTAGTACGAATCGGCCACAATATGCCACGTGTTCAGCTGCCTCATACTCGTAATTTTGAGACTCGTGTGGTTGGAGGTTCCCCAGCACCAGTTGGACAATACAAATTTATAGTTTCCCTTCAATATAAAGGCTTACACTTTTGCGGCGGATCCATTTTAAACAAAGATGTCATTATAACTGCAGCACATTGTGTTAACGCAATTCCTAATTTAAGTGATACTACCGTCGTGGCTGGAAAGTACAGTCTTAAGATTAAAGAGACTACCGAACAGACAGTCAATGTGTCGAAAACAGTCGTACATCTCAAATATAGAGGGTAAGCAGAACGTTGAAAGCAGTAATTACACAAACAATTAAACGACATGGCAGAATAAGCATGTCAAATCTGCCCCCGCGCCAATCGAGCTCAAATTGGTATCACTAGATACTTCTGAGATGTAAAACTTCCCCAAATTAACCTTGAAATTGCATTTTTTTGGGAGTTATGGAGGGGGAAAGCGAAATCAAAAGTGTTTTTTTTCGAAAACGACTGTACCAATTTTAATGAAAAAAATATATGTTTTAAACATCGTTCAGATAAGTTGAAGAAAATTTTTTGAAATTTTTACGATGTAAACAAACCATTAAAAAAATGTTTTAATCCTTTAGGAATTTTTGTTGTTGATATTTTTGAGTGACCACTCTTATACTTCATGAAAATAATCTGTAGACTCTCAACTTTAACATATATTTTTTTTAAATCGTTCGAAGTGGTGGAACATGGTTAAAAAAATCAATCATTCGCTCAACGCCATGCCGACTGGGCGGTCGCGGTCCCGGCGCACCGCGGCGCTTGGCGGCTGTTGCCATAGAACTATATACTAACCTTGTTGCTGTGTTGCAATGTTTAATACACATTTATTCAATGAACATTATAATATATAATATAACATATTTCCATTAAGGATGTCTGCAGTTAGCCTATGAAACTTATAGTTCCCGGAGTTTACCATGCACGAGGAGGTTGCAGTACGTTTTTAAACTCCATATTTTCGGAGTGTTTTTTAACGTGAGTCCCCTCGCCTCTCACATCCACACAACAGAAGAGAATTAATTAATTCTTAATCATCGTCACTATCACTTTCAATGACAGGAATGGAATTATCTTCTTAAATATATCGCTGAGTATTTCTGCCGGTTTAAAATTTTTCGATAATTACCTTGCGTAAGATAAATAATATATTATTGAGGGAATATGGGAGCAACAACTAATTGTTGATCTGCCAACGGTGCCTCCTGGATACCGGGCGAACTCCAGGAGTACATAGCCAAGCCCCGGGCATTCGCGGCTCTGCCCGGGTGAGATCGCGCGACCGCGGTACTCGTGGGAATAAAATGGATGACACGAATATAAACGAAAACAATGATTTTAATAAAGTCCTCTCGGGGGTGGCTTCCTTAGGAAGCGAACAACTAGAGGAGGTAAAAACAGAGAGTGCGGGTCCACCTAAGACTCGCATTCGCTACAGCGGTGCTGCAAGGCGCCGCCACAATAAGGAGAAGGCGAGGGCTGAGAAAGCTATCTCTCCTCCTCCTTCAGATACCCCTACTCCGCCGGGCGGGGAGGGTGGTGCGGTGGTGGGCACGCAGATGCGTGCCAGGCCGGTGAATCAAACGCCTAGCCCGGCGAAGAATCGTCCGAGCAAGAGACCCAAGGTCACTGACCAAGTGGCGTATGCCCGGGCGATTACGGGCATGATAAGGATGGCATTCGTTCCAGAAGGCTATCCTGAGAAAAAACTGGGTGCCAGTGAGGTGAAGGAGATCAGGCGACTGGTCAGGGCGCGCATCCTCGAACTTCCCGAGGACGGGCTAGCGCCCACCTTCATCGGCACCTGGGAGAGGGATGGCGCAGTTATTTTCAAGCACTCACAACACTAGGGGTAACTAACCAAGTAACCCTAGTATGGGTCCCTGGACATCAGGGGATACCTGGAAATGAGGGAGCGGACGAGCTGGCAAAGCAGGGTACCGAAAAGATCTCTGCTGAAAGGATCGTCGGAGTCCCATTTTCAGCAGGAACAAAAACAATCAAAGAGTGGCTTGAACGGGAGCATTCGAACTCCTGGAAGGGGGCAGAGGGCTGTAAACGAGCCAAACAACTCATGAGATCTCCAAATCCAGCAAGAACCAGAGAGTTGCTGGCTATGGGAAAGGCTAAACTGAGAAGTGGCATAGGCCTACTGACAGGTCACTTGCCCCTCAGAGCACATCTATTCAATCTAGGACTAGCGGAGCAGAAAGAATGCCGGCTATGTGGAGAAGAAGGCGAGGACAACCTGCACTTATTGTGCCGATCCCCTGCACTCGCTTGCAAAAGATACAAATCCTGGGGACATATGTTTATGACACCCAAGGATTTTGAAAATGCGAAGGTTAGCAGTCTAATAAGTCTGGTAAGTGACACGAGGCTGGGCTTGACTGAATGACCTACGGAATAAGCAGGGAGCGACATAGGAACCCCACGGATCTAGGTCGCGTTAGTAGGCTAATAAAGCCCACCTGCAATTATTACTATTACTACTACTATCTGAACGATGTTTACAACATATATTTTTTTCATTAAAATTAGTACAGTCGTTTTCGAAAAAAAACACTTTTTTGATTTCGCTTTCCCCCTCCATAACTCCAAAAAAATGCAATTTCAAGGCTAATATTTGGGGAAGTTTTACATCTCAGAAGTACCGAACTAATGATACCAATTTGAGCTCGATTGGTGCGGGGGCAGATTTGACATGCTTATTCCGCTATGCCCTTTATTTATATTTAAGTAATATCTGTTCAATTTGTAATTAATATTATGTTTATAACTTATTTTTAATAGCATATATAGGGATAATCTTGAACATAATAGCTCTTGCATCAGTAACGAACAGTAGTTCTATTTGTAAAATAAATGTACAATGATGGAAACTACTGTTGACATTGTAATGTCGCATTATTGATATCAATATCGTGATTAGCACTGATTTCTTATAATTAAACTCACTCAAGTGTGACACTCCGATTTTAAGTTTTTAGTACGTTGTTCTCTAGACAAAAATAAGCGACGCGTATTTTTTTATACGTAACCATACGCACTTTTAAGCGGTGAAAAACACCTCTTTGAAAAAAATCGGTTTTTCTCTTACGAAACAAACATCTTCGAAACTATAAGACATAGAAAAAAAATTTTACAATGAAAATTGAATGGTTTTAAGAGTACTTTAAAACTATAATAAGAAAACTATAATTAAAAAACATTTTTAAAATATTTATTTATAATGAGTAATTTATTTATAAAAAATAATTTTTTTAATTACATTTCTAAAGTACTCTTGAAGCCATTCAATTTTTATTATAGAAATTTTTTCTTCTTCTTATAGTTTCGAAGACATTCGCTTAGAAAGAGAAAAACCGATTTTTTCAAAGGAGTATTTTACTCCTTAAAAATACGTATGAGCACGTATAAAAAAATACATGTCGCTTATTTTTGTCTGGAGAACAATATATTAAAAACTCATCAAAATTGGAGTGTCATACTTGGGTAGGTTTACTTGTTAGAATATTAAAAAACTATATCTAATATTAGAAGTATGATATTAGAAAGCTATATCTCAAATAAGTAATGATATATGCAAATTATATTTTATCATTTATTGTCATATACACGTGTATTCAATTAATTCTGTAGATTAATACTATTTTTTCGCTAATACTACAACCGTCTTTATAGTATTAACACGTTAGCTCAAATATTTTTTTTAATTATATAATTACATATGTGTATGTGTGTGTGTGTGTATGTGTAGGTATTACAATATACATTTTCTAATTTTCAGTGAAGTTGGCCCGAATGACATTGCTTTGCTTAAGCTTGCATCCCCATTGAAATTGAACAATGACGTACAGGCTATCGCATTACCACAAGCAAACAGTGAACCAACTGGAGTGGCATGGCTTAGTGGATGGGGCTCTATCTCGAGTATTAATTCTCCAGTAATGCCATCTAAACTTCAACATGTTCAGATGCAGTTCCTCGATCACATAGCTTGCGACAAAGTCATGACTAAATTTTTGGGATTTCCTTCTCCTGTTGATGAAACCAATATATGTACTTCGCCAGGGAAGAAACCACTTTCCGCATGCAGCGTAAGTGCCAGACGTTCAGTAAATTTAGTTAATAAAATAATAACTTTGTTATTCTTTATTAATGTAGCAATTTAATGTATTGCTTTTAATATATTTTTAGGGTGATTCCGGCGGTCCACTTATCTCGATTGACGGAGGAAAACAAATACTTCAGGGAATAGTATCTTGGGGTGTTGTACCATGTGGTGTCCTAAACTTGCCATCCGTATATGTTAAGGTATCCCATTTCATTTCTTGGATTGAACAGAACATCAAAAATTGACGAAGGCAATATTAACGATGTATGAATGTATAATACTGAATAACGAATTATTACACATTATTTAACGTGTAAAATAAATATCCAGCATAAATTAAAATTAATGTTCTTTTTCTTATTATCCTACATAATACAAAAACTAAACATGAATTTTATGAGATAAACATTTGTGACAAAAGACATTGTTATTCTCATTTATTTTATTAATTTTATTTAATAGATAACAATAACAAATTTTTTAAAAATACCTACATCTATTTTAATGATCATTCAGAAATGATTAGTTGAAAAGACGTCAAATATTTAACTAATACCTATAATTAACTTCAGCTTTATCTCAAATAAAAAGAACATTATCTTTTTCAAATGATCTGTATTAAACAATAAACCATTAAATTAGATTATTTATATAATCTAACACAAATAAATAAAAAACTGTCGAATAAGGTAATTAAAATTGACAGTCAATTTAATTCGTAATTCTATCCCAATTTCAGTTTATAATTGCATTTTCGACAATAATAATCCTCAAATAGTTCATACATACAAGGTGTTCATTTGAAAACTTTCCAGCTGATTATCTCGAAAAATATAAAAAATACAAATTAACACGTTAAATATTAACACATTAAATGACGTTATTTAAAAAAAGTTACATAATTCCATTTAAAAAATTAAAGGTGACCTTCACGTAACCTTCAGAGGACTATCCAAGATCAAATCGATGGCACCACCTTATGTCCCCCTTCAAGTCAAACAATTTTTGTCTGAAACATTTTTTCGATAAACGCCTTCTTTCTGAAATAACCGCGTGGAAGTTTTAAAATGGGACACCCATTATAATATTAGAATAAATTATCAGATTTAGATTTTAATTTGTAATTTGACTCTTATTCGCCCTATTTAACGTGTTAATTATTATTATATAAAAGAGTCCTTCAAATCTTCAATTCATTTATAAAAAATACAAAAAAACGTTAAAACATGTATTCCATAATTTCGAGGGGGAAAGAGAATGGCACCCTCAATTCTTTATTTGGGTGGCATTTTCAACGTCATTTGAAGGTCAAATTAATTTTTTTATATGGAAATGTATATTTTTTTATTACAGGATCTTATTCTACGTAAAAAAACAAGTAACTTCTGTAGGAAACATTTTTTTGTTTGATCACTATTTTAGGAGATATTTAAGAAAATATCAAGGCATAGTTACTGCATAAAATTTCATTATTTATTATAACAAACGTTTAAAATGTTCTCCGTTGTTTGCTAAACAATAATAAAGGCGATTCTGGAACTCTGAATGAACATTTGGAAAGTATTTGCTGGAATAGCTCTACATTCCTATACAATTTTTTGACGTAAATCGTTAATTGATATTTTCCGGTGATTAAAGTTCCTCATTTAACAACAATTCGCCATTTTCATCTTTTTGATTTTCAAGACTTTCAGTTATAAGTGCATCTCAAGAGGCGGTCTCCCAGCATCAATTCGTCTGGACATAATTATTTCTAGCTTACCTGCATTATCATCACCATACAGTTTGACCATATTTCGAGGCATTAGAGCTGTTTCACATATATAACATGGTATTCGCAATCTATTAACCATTTTCTGCAAACACAAATACTCATGTAAGGGAAAGAAAATGGTTTTCTTAGGCCACCGAGGCTTTACAGGTGCTGCGGTAAAAGTTTACACACGCATCACAATACCCAATTAATCACTACGGTTGTTAACATACTGTGAAATAATAAATATATATTCTAGACAATAAAAACATGTTTTTTTTATATACCAATAAAATATTTATACTGTATATTAGAAGGCAATATGTAGCAATATGTTACTTTTCATAATAATCGATATGAAGCCGATATCGCCCTTTGAACTCCAATATCTCAGAACTTGTTGATTCTAGGACCACGTGCCCATTGAGACTTTTGATCAGGACACCATAAACTACAACATACTAAATTTTCAGCCATTTTGACCGAAAGTACTTTCTCATAAGAAACGTGCGGGGTCCTTTTTTGCGGGGACATTTTCTCCAAAATGCCAGAAAAATTTCAATAAGTTCAGATGGAGTATCGATCGCACAACTTGCGACAAAGTTGTCAATGATCTAACAGGGCCTTCTCCTTCTTCTATTCATGAAACTAATTTATGCACAAGATCATTGAACAAACCAATTCCCGAAGACAACATATGTGCCAGATATTAAGAAAATTCAATGAATGATTGTAGCAATATTGGCAATTAATATAGCATTTTAATGTACCATTTTTAATATACTTTTTGATTCCGGTGGTTTACTAACCTCGTACGAAGAAAAATCAGTACTAACTAGAATTGAGATTTTATATCATATATTACTTCAAACGCCATCCGTATACCCTATCCAGTTTCAATAATTGGACTTCGCAGAAAAATAGTAATTAATAATTTGTTAACGATGGCAATATTGATGACTTATAAATGTATAGATAATACTGAATCGTTACATTACATATTACTTAATACAAAATAAATATCCATCATAAATTTCAAGTAATGTTCTTTTATTCCTATCTGCCCCCTCCTCATATAATATAAAAGTTAAACAGAAATTTTACTGGATAAACAAGACATTCGTGATCAAAGACATTGTCATTCTTATTTTGTATTTAACAGATGATAATCTTTATTTTCTGAAATATACGTATAGTTTCAATGCTCATTGAGAAATGAATAGATGAAGAGACGTCAAAAATCCACATCCAGAAAACTACTTTTCGATTGAGAATGTGAAAAATTTAATGTTTTTGTATTACTTTATTTAAATGATTATAATATTTATTTTAAGTTTTTACCGCGTTTATTTAGTTATCTGTGTATGTGGAATTTTATTTTATTTTAAAACGGAAATTGTAATCTATCGTAATAAATCTTATTTACAATACCTTCATTGTAGACTTTTTTTGGGAATTTGTCTTCAAACAATTATTTTGTTCATAAATTTGCATTGGACTTTTTAACAATTAATTATCTTACATTAATTCTTAAATTAAGTTCAGGATTAGAAACCGTATAAAAATAGTACCATATCATTATAATTACTTTTTATAAATTTTTTGTTATTTTTGATCATGTAAAGTATTATATTTAAAAATTACATTATTTAATAAGGAATGTTAATATTTAAATCACTACTAAAATTATGATTTGGTCTCTATATAGCAAATTTTTCTCTGTACTAAACTTATATCTAATAAATTTATAAATCTTTATATGAATATTTTTACTAATATAAAATAAATGGAGTTCTCGAGCTTTAAAACAAAAATAATAAATGTAAACTTAATTAGCGAGCAATTGAGAGCTAAGAATAAAGCAGTTATTCATGCGTATAATAAACAAATGTATTTAATCAAAAACAATATTACATTGCATTCGCAAAAAATTTCGCAAAATTTCTATGTTTCTGTTCCATTCGAGTTATCATCAGCGATGTCAAACAATGGATACATTATTCACATCAGTGAGGTTCGAATGAGCAGCCAGAAGAGCCTCTTTAATTCGATATTTTTGAGAAACATTAATGCCAATTAACCTTAGAGTTAAGTGTGTCACTGAAGGTTGGCATACAACATGATTGAATTAATAAAATTATAAAATAAAAAATATATTAAATTCTTTGAAAAAGTACTCACCAGCTGCAAACTCTGATCATACATAACGCAAGAGGAAAAAATTAATATTTTTACCTTTTATAATACTCGTAATGGTTATTTTTATTATCAAATAAATTAATTCGGTAATATTTATATGTAATGCATTAATTATGCCATTTCCGATAATGTCGTCAATCATCTGACAGAATTTTCTTTCTTCTCCATTTCATAAAACTAATATCTGTATTGGACGATAAATTTTCCGCATGCAGCGTAAGTGTCAACGTACAATAAATGCATTAATTAACAGTGATTTTATTACCGCCATTAATATATATAGCAATTTAATGTATTAAGTTTCTAATACATTTTTAAGTTGATAATGATGCTTCATTAATTTCACATTTTTATCCCTTGTTTATCTATTGTATGAGCCAATATAATAGAACTTTTGCAACTTAACTAATTAAAGAGTGTTTCAACATTACAACTTAAATAATTTTTATATTTAATTGTAGTACCAATTAGTTTAAATATGATTTAGTAATATTAAAACAAATAAGAAATATTATAAATTCTGTAACAATAATACTTATTACATTTTATTGTTATATTCCCGTTTCTCGTGTAATTTATTTTAGTTCGTGACTTCTTCAAAAATTTAGTTTACTTTAAAGTTAAATTATTATCAGAATTCTTGAATTATACTTTGTTAATTTTTATAAGCATTCCGTAACATCATGTATGTTTTATTTGGATATTTTTGTTTCTGTTAATACGCACTATCTCTATAACACAAAAATTAACTAAGCTATTAAATAAATTAAATTTTAAATATTAAATGTAGATAATAATACATTTACATTCTTTATAAAAATTATAAATTTATGTACTTATGCATTTTATATCAGTATACCTAATTTTATAGAAGCAACTTTCTACTATAAATTATTGTTATTGAGATGTATAATACATACTACTAATAGCATTATTTCATATATAAATACAAATCATCTTTGTTATATTGTATAGTTCAATATTTATATCAATTATTATACGTCAAATTACAAAGAAGTATCGTCTGGATCCAGTGAGAAATGGCAATGGAATCGACGTCGAATCAATGTCAGTTCGACGTCGAATTAATGATTTCAATGTCGAATCGACATCACTTCGATGTCGATTTCATTGTCACTTCTCACTGAGGAATACTATTTTTAGTACCGTAAAAATGTTTTGATTAATTGTTGTAGATAATAATGGCTTGTCAGCGTACAAATGCGCCTGACGAAACAAGTATAAAATGCAGTCTATTCATGAAATTGTCAAACAGCAAAATGTATTTCAAAGCTATCGTGTCCTTCGCCTTCCTAGCTGTGGCGGTTGCTAATGGTAAGTCCATCCAATTTCCTCGATTTATATGATATACGTACAATTTATATTTAATTTTATTTAAAAAATGGATCTCTAAGGCATTATAAATGTTCTTATCAAACAGTTCTTAATTTATTATTAGGACCTTGAATAAGTTCTCGCCGATTTTTCGTGAAAAGTATAAATACGCGCCGCTAGCGCTGCACCGTTTTCAAAATGAGACAAAGTAATAAGCCGGTAAAACAGACCGCGTACAAATTATCCACACATTATATGTTTTCAATTTAATGTCTGAGTTCAAACATTCCTTATTAATTACTATACACATTTTCTAACATTTCTCGCGTTTTATTTAGATATCTTTATTTTTAATAATGGGCATTATTTCTGTAACAAAAATTAATTAAGTAATGCCGAAATAAATTAAATTTTATATATTAAATAGAGATAATAATACTTTTTAAGGTTTATAAATACTGTAAGTTCATGTACTTACGTATTTTATATCAGTATACCTAATTTTATAGAAGCAATTTTCTACTATAAAGTATTGTTATGGGGATGCACAATATATACGACTAATAGCATTGTTTTGTATAGGTATAAATCATCTGTGTTATGTCGTATAGTTCAATATTTATATTAATTAATGTACGTCAAGTTATAAAGAAGTACCGTCTGGAATACAATTTTTTATATCGAAAAATTTTATGATTAATTGTTGTAGATAATAATGGCTTGTCAGCGTACAGATGCGCCTGACGAAAGAGGTATAAAATGCAGCCAATTTACGGGATTGTCATCAAACAGCAAAATGTATTCCAAAGCTATCGTGTCCTTTGCTTTCCTAGCCATGGCGATCGCTGATAGTAAGTCAATTTTCTCGATTTATACATATAATTTACGTACAGCTTGTACACAATTTTACTTAAAAAATAGTCACTAAAATACTACAAAAAATTTCTCCTATTAAAATTAAAAAGTTTTAAATTTATTAAATAAATAATAACTAAATTATTCTATATTGTTGTACAAATTACAGAGCAAATAGCAAAATTTTGTTTCTAGTTAAAAATTTTTTTCTAAAATAATATTTCATAAAGAGCTAACTTTGATGTGCTATGATCGACATCTTGCATAAATGTTTTCTTAAACACTATTAATTTAAATTGTAGTGCGAATCGGCCACAATATGCCACCTGTTCAGCTGCCTCATATTCGTAATTTTGAGACTCGTGTGGTTGGAGGTTCCCCAGCACCAGTTGGACATTACAAACATATAGTTTCCCTTCAACATAAAGGCTCACACTTTTGCGGCGGATCCATTATAACCAAAGATGTCGTTCTGACTGCAGGGCATTGTGTTAACGCAATTTCTGATTTAAGTGATACTACCGTCGTAGCTGGAAAGTACAATCTTAAGACTAAAGAGTCTACCGAACAGACAGTCAAAGTGTCGAAAACAGTCGTACATCCCAAATATAGAGGGTAAGCAGAACGTTGAAAGCAGTAATTACACGAACAATTAAATTTATTTATATTTAAATAATATCTTTTTAATTTGTAATTAATATTATGTTTATAACTTATTTTTAATTGTATATACAGAGATAATCTTGAACATAATAGCTCTTGCATCAATAACGAACAGTAGTACTATTTGTAAAATAAATGTACAATGATAGAAACTACTATTGACATTGTAATGTCGCATTATTGATATCAATATCGTGATTAGCATTGATTTCTTATAATTAAATCCACTAAAGTGTGACACTCCGATTTTAAGTTTTTAGTACGTTGTTCTCCAGACAAAAATAAGCGACGCGTATTTTTTTATACGTAACCATACGCACTCTTTAAGCTGTAAAAAACACCTCTTTGAAAAAAATCGGTTTTTCTCTTTCGAAGCGAGCATCTTCGAAACTATAAGACATAGAAAAAAAATTTTACAATGAAAATTTAATGGTTTTAAGAGTACATTAAAACTATAATTAAAAAACATTTTTAAAATATTTATTTATAATGAGTAATTTATTTAAAAAAATAATTTTTTTAATTACATTTCTAAAATACTCTTGAAGCAATTCAATTTTTATTCTAGAAATTTTTTCTACCTCTTATAGTTTCGAAGATATTCGCTTAGAAAAAGAAAAACCTATTTTTTTTAATGAGTGTTTTACTCCTTAAAAATACGTATGAGCACGTATAAAAAAATACGTGTCGTTTATTTTTGTCTGGAGAACAACATATTAAAAACTCATCAAAATTGGAGTGTCATACTTGGGTAGGTTTACTTGTTAGAATATTAGAAAACTATATATAATATTGGAAGTATGATATTAGAAAGCTATATCTCAAATAAGTAATGATATACAAATTATATTTTATCATTTATTGTCATATACACGTGTATTCAATTAATTCTGTAAATTAATACTATTTTTTCGCTAATACTACAATCGTCTTTATAGTATTAACACGTTAGTAGTCCAGTCGTCAGAGACGAAAATGCCACTCAACCTCTAAAAATCATACGAACAAGTTGAATTTTGCTGTGAATGTCAATTTTGGGACCCCAAAAAAGATGCAAAAAAGTTTGCCACTTCTACCCCCGAGCTTCCCCTTAAAATTCCCCCTCGTAGGGGGAAAAAACGAAAAACATCGATTTACCAAGAATCTGTACGCCGTAGAAAAAAATGTTTCAAACCAAAAATGCAGCTGAGATAATTGTGAACAAAAATGTTTCTTAGCACTTTTTGTGTAGAATGAACCGTTCTTTCAGAAACAACGCTTGAAGCGACCGGTGATTTTGAATGTCAGTTACGCGCGCGAAATCAATTTTTTAAATAAAATTTCTATCAACTCGACGGTAAAAATTCGATATCTTTTGATAAGAGTGTCCTATCGACAAAAATCAAAATGCGTTTTAAAGGTGAAGAGTGCAGCTTTCGTATGCAATTTTTGCATTTTGCCGCAAATGAAGTCAGTTTCTATAAAGCTGTTAAATAAATAAACGTTGCGCGATTTTTGCCATTTTTTACGATTCTCATGAGATCAATAAAATTTATCACTTCCATTGATCGGTCGCTGTGGAATTTCCATTGTTAGAGCCTAAACTTCAAAACCTATAACATGAAATTTCGATTTTGAGTTTTGGCAACAAATATGAGGCATTTGAAAGGTCGCTGTGGAATTTCCATTGTTAGAGCCTAAACTTCAAAACCTATAACATGAAATTTTAATTTTCAATTTTGGCAACAAATATGAGGCATTTGAAATATTCCTAAAAAGAAAAAAATCGTGATATTTGGCCTTATACTTCAAATAAAACGTTTAAAACTGCTTCTTTTCGATTGCACAAGTACGTGTTTAAAAACTACACATCTTCAGCTACAAATTCCACCCAATGCCGTCTTCGTGGAAGCATTTCCAGATTTTCAATTTTGGCAACAAATATGAGGCATTTGAAATATTCCTAAAAAAAAAAAAATCGTGATATTTGGCCTTATACTTCAAATAAAACGTTTAAAACTGCTTCTTTTCGATTGCACAAGTACGTGTTTAAAAACTACACATCTTCACCCAATGACGTCTTCGTGGAAGCATTTCCCGTGACGTGAGATCGTTTGTGATGATCGAATGTGAAAGTTTAAATTCAGCGTTTTTTAGATATTTCAAATGCCTCATATTTGTTGCCAAAACTCAAAATCGAAATTTCATGTTATAGGTTTTGAAGTTTAGGCTCTAACAATGGAAATTCCACAGCGACCGATCAATGGAAGTGATAAATTTTATTGATCTCATGAGAATCGTAAAAAATGGCAAAAATCGCGCAACGTTTATTTATTTAACAGCTTTATAGAAACTGACTTCATTTGCGGCAAAATGCAAAAATTGCATACGAAAGCTGCACTCTTCACCTTTAAAACGCATTTTGATTTTTGTCGATAGGACACTCTGATCAAAAGATATCGAATTTTTACCATCGAGTTGATAGAAATTTTATTTGAAAAATTGATTTCGCGCGCGTAACTGACATTCAAAATCACCGGTCGCTTCAAGCGTTGTTTCTGAGAGAATGGTTCATTCTACACAAAAAGTGCTAAGAAACATTTATGTTCACAATTATCTCAGCTGCATTTTTTGTTTGAAACATTTTTTTCTACGGCGTACAGATTCTTGGTAAATCGATGTTTTTCGTTTCTTCCCCCCTACGAGGGAGGGTTTTAGGGGGAAGCTCGGGGGTAGGAGTGGCAAACTTTTTTGCATCTTTTTTGGGGTCCCAAAATTGACATCCACAGCAAAATCCAGCTTGCTCGTCGCGTTTTTAGAGGTCAAATCTCTGACGACTGGACTATAGCACAAATATTTTTTTTAATTATATAATCATATATATGTGCGTGCGTGCGTGCGTGCGTGTGTGTGTGTGTGTGTGTGTGTATTGCAATATATATTTTCTAATTTTCAGTGATGTTGGCCCGAATGACATTGCTTTGCTTAAGCTTGCATCTCCATTGAATTTGAACAATGACGTACAGGCTATCGCATTACCACGAGCAAACAGTGAACCAACTGGAGTGGCATGGCTTAGTGGATGGGGCTCTACCTCGACTATTATTTTTCCAATAATGCCATCTACACTTCAACATGTTCAGATGCAGTTCCTCGATCACGTAGCTTGCAAAAAAGCCATGACTAAAGTGTTGGGATCTCCTTCTCCTGTTGATGAAACCAATATATGTACTTCGCCAGGGAAAAGACCACTTTCCGCATGCAGCGTAAGTGCCAGACGTTCAGTAAATTCAGTTAATAATAATAACTTTGTTATTCTCTATTAATGTAGCAATTTAATGTATTGTTTTTAATATATTTTTAGGGTGATTCCGGCGGTCCACTTATCTCGATTGACGGAGGAAAACCAGTGATTCAGGGAATTGTATCTTGGGGTGTTGTACCATGTGGTAAACCAAACGCACCATCCGTGTATGTTAAGGTATCTCATTTCATTTCTTGGATTGAACAGAACATCAAAAATTGACGATGGCAATATTGACGATGTATGAATGTATAATACTGAATAACGAATTATTACATATTATTTAACGTGTAAAATAAATATCCAGCATACGTTAAAATTAATGTTCTTTTTCTTCCTATCCTACATAATACAAAAACTAAACATGAACTTTATGAAATAAACATTTGTGACAAAGACATTGTTATTCTCATTTATTTTATTAATTTTATTTAATAGATAACAATGACAAATTTTTTTAAAATACCTACATCTATTTTAATGATCATTCAGAAATGATTAGTTGAAAATACGTCAAATAATTAACTAATACCTATAAACTTCAGTTTTATCTCAAATAAAAAAGAACATTTTCTTTCTCAAATGATCTGTGTTAAATAATAAACCATTAAATTAGGTTATTTATATAACCTAACACAAATAAATAAAAAACTGTCGAATAAGGCAATTAAAATTGACAGTCAATTTAATTTGTAATCCTCTATCCCAATTTCAGTTTATAATTGCATTTTCGACAATAATAATCCTCAAATAGTTCATATATACATATATACATATGTATATAGAAAAATATATATAATTAAAAAATATATTTAAAACGTAGAAATAAGTATTAATTATTGATAACCGTTATTTAAAGATATACTCCGTAATTATTTTATTTTCGATATAAACTCTTTATTGGGATTGCACTTTAAATCTGAAATTTATTTTTATCACAGCTAGATTTTAATCTTGATTATAAATAAATTTATTCTTTCATATTGTGTATCAGATTGTCAATTTTTCCGCATTCCTTTCATATCTTTATTGAGGGATTATGATTGATCATATACAGATTGATTACAGATCATATATATGATCTGTTAACAATAACACGATCAATCATAAATTTATAACTTAAAAAAAAAACTAAAAAAATGTTTTATGGCTATTTAAATGAACAATATTCAAATCTAAAAACCGTCAATGTAAGAACGTAACTAATACGAATACGAAGCCTATAACAGTCTAGCTTGGATTTTAGATACTTATATATGTAATTTTGCGTGAATTGATATACTAATATGTGTAGTCCTTCCAAACTGCGCGCCGAACAATTGTCGGTATTAAAACGCAACTCTAATAAACTACCATAGTACACGAATTAAATTGATTAACAATTTAATAATTAATTGATGCTCTTTTTGGCATTTTATATCGATGTTAAACTATATAATTAAGATCTGAAAATACTAAATCTGGAAATAATTCTTCTTATTGCGAAAAATATTACCTCGGCCGGGAATCGAACCCGGATATCTTACTTTACGCGCAAGTGTCAATAACGTTTCTTACTTCACATGTACCAATTATTGCGAAGAATATTATTAATAAGGCCTTGGTATTTAAATAAACTTTATATTTACGTAGCACATTAAGATAATAATTTAAAATGTATGGAAACAAAAGTGGCATACACACAAATGGAAAGAAAGTTGATATTTTTATAATTATTGTTGTTTCTCTTGAATTAAAATTTATTTCAAAATTATTATTATTATCAGAATAATTAGAGCATCTTTTATTTAAAATACCTATATCTATTATAGTTTTATATCTATTATTTTAATAATCTATTATTTTAATAATCTATTATTTTAATAATCTATTATTTTAATAATCTATTATTTTATCATAATTTTATTTGAATAGCTTTGTTTGATTTCCGCATAGGCACTTTTATCTAAAAAAGAATAAATCTCGGAAAACTTATATAGGTATGCTTAAATATTATATATATATAAATATATGTTTAATATACATAAATATGCAAATATAAAAATTTCACCTAAAACATTTGTTCTAATGGAGATTTGATCTAACTGCAAATTAAATAAATTAAACTTTAAATATAAAATATGGACAATATATTTGGTCCCTGTATGGAACTTTCAGTTTTTATAATACATTTTTTTCAGCATATCTAATTTTATAGAAAACGTTTTGTATTGCAATATTTTGTAAATGTGACAAATTAGAAAATTTGTTTTATTTAAATCAGCTGCATCACACACACATACCACCTAATTCAATACTTATATCAATACACCTCAAGTAACAAAGAGAGTTTCAGCACACAATAAAATTTTGTATATAACTGGAATATATATTTTCAAATTTTAAGTGAAGTTGCCCCATATGACATTGCTGTTCTTAAGTTTAAATCTACATTGAAATTGAACGATAACGTACGAGCTATCGTATTAAAACAAGCAAACAGTGAACCAACTGGCGGGGCTTGGCTCAGTGGATAGGGCTGTATCTCGACTACTAATGTTCCAATAATGCCAACTAAATTTCAACATGTTCAGATGGTGTACGTCGATCGCATAACTTGCGACAAGGACCTGAGTAAACTGATGCGAACTTCTCGTTCTAGTGTTGATGAAACCAATATTTGCATTGGGTCATTGAACAAACAAATTCCTGTATGCAACGTATGTGTCAAATAGGTATAGGTTGCATTCTGTTTCACGTATTATATGCATTGATGTATCATTATATATACCTACATATATATATGTATATATAGATATATATATACTTATCAAATAATAGAATCTTAATTTTATATTTATACGACCATACAATTGTTAAACAATTAACAAGAAAGAAGGAAGCACAAAGCTAAGCCTATCTCTGTCAAAGCTAGATCTCGATGCTTATTATCATTATGTGTGAATTTTATATACCGCGTATATAGTTCCTTTAATCGCGTGCCGAAAATTTTTTCTGACTTTACAACGCAACTCCAAATAACTACCGCGGTAATATCACTTTAGTTAAATTGACAATCAATCTAACAAATTTCGATGCTTATAGCATCTTATTAGATCTTAATAATATGTTGAAAGACATATATTAAAATTTAATATTAAAGTAATGATAATTTAAAATCTGTGAAAAAGTTGCGACAAAGTTGTCAGTGATCTAACGGGGCCCTCTCCTTCTTCTATTCATGAAACTAATTTATGCACAAAATCATTGAACAAACCAATTCCCGAAGACAACATATGTGCCAGATATTAAGAAAATTCAATGAATGATTGCACTGTGGGCCAGGGGAGACTAGGAAGAGGCAAAAAACTCACTTTGAAATGGACAAAAAGTAAATATGTGTCCTTAATAACAACATATAAAAGAAGTATTTACCAAAGTATAGAAGCATTTACTTGAACAATGCGATGCTGGGAAAGAAAAGTATGTCAAGATTCTGTTCAACTGAAATGAACTATTTTTTTTCAAAAAGGCAGAGTAGATTTATAATTCTGTATCATATCAATTTCTCTATGGTTTTACCGTAATTATAAATGTAATTTAAATCTAAATCAAACGTATATAATCTCCGAAAAACCCGTATATATTATTATTTTCCATCATTTTTTTTCATTTTTCAGCGATTTTCAATGTTGCCCATTTTTCGATTCATCGTTCCCCGGCGTTCCACTAGATATTCAGCTTTAATTTACACGGATGTGTTCCTTAGAATATATTCTTCAAGACAAAGTTGCGCCTTTTTGCGCATTTTTATATTGAAGAAAGATGTTTGAGCGGCTTGTGCCACAGCGTATGTGTACGCGTATTATATTCCTTTTCAGCAGACTTGTGTCCCTTGTATTGCTTACACCGCAATTTCAGGAATTTTAAACAGACCCTGATCTGACCTGGCAACAAATTTCATAAAAGCACTTTAATTTTAATAACAAATTGGTAGAATCTCCAAAATCAAAAGTTTCATAAAAATTCAATAATTTTTTATTCAATTACAAACATTTCAAACATTTTCAAAATATTATTCGTCATATTGAATCCGCCATTTTGGGTTTTGCAATTTTATCACAGTTTCGGTTTCAGCCACTCCAACCCCCCCCCCCCCCAAACCAAATGTGCAATTGCAGCCGAATTTTAGGACCTTTTTATTTTTTGCCACTTATTTATGTCCTCTGGCCCAATGTGGATTGTAGCAATATTGGCAATTAATATAGCAATTTCATGTACCATTTTTAATATACTTTTTGATTACGGTGGTTTACTAACCTCGTATGAAGAAAAATCGGTACTAACTAGAATTGAGATTTTATATCATATATTACTTCAAACGCCATCCGTATACGCTAGGGTATCCAGTTTCAATAATTGGACTTCGCAGAAAAATAGTAATTAATAATTTGTTAACGATGGCAATATTGATGACTTATAAATGTATAATACTGAATCGTTCATTACGTATTACTTAATACAAAATAAATATCCATCATAAATTTGAAGTAATGTTCTTTTATTCCTATCTCCCCTCTCCCCACATAACACAAAAGTTAAACAGAAATTTTATTGGATAAACAAGACATTCGTGACCAAAGACATTGTCATTCTTATTTTGTATTTAACAGATGATAATCTTTATTTTCTGAAATATACGTATAGTTTCAATGCTCAGTGAGAAATGAATAGTTGAAGAGACGTCAAAAATCCACATCCAGAAAGCTACTTTTCGATTGAGAATGTGAAAAATTTAATGTTTTTGTATTACTTTATTTAAATGATTATAATATTTATTTTAAGTTTTTACCGCGTTTATTTAGTTATCTGTGTATGTGGAATTTTATTTTATTTTAAAATGGAAATTGTAATCTATCGTAATAAATCTTATTTACAATACCTTCATTGAAGACTTTATTTGGGAATTTGTCTTCAAACAATTATTTTGTTCATAAATTTGCATTGGACTTTTTAACAATTAATTATCTTACATTAATTCTTAAATTAAGTTCAGGATTAGAAACTGTATAAAAATAATACGATATCATTATAGTTACTTTTTATATATAATACTTTTTTGTTACATTTTGATTATGTAAAGTATTATATTTAAAAATTACACTATTTAATAAGCAATTTTAATATTGAAATCAGTACTAAAATTCTGAATTGATCTCTATATAGCAAATTTTTCTCTATACTAAACTTATATCTAATAAATTTATAAATCTTTATATTAATACTTTTACTCTTTAATACTCATATATGCTTATCTTTATTACTATCACTTATTCTAATTTAGCAAGTTTAGATGTAATACATTAATTGTACTTTTTGCGACAATGTCATCAATCGACAGGATCTTCTCTTTTTCCAATTCATAAAACGAATACCTGTATTGAGCAATTGAACTATGAAATCCTCGCATGTATCTTATAATTAGTGTTATGTAAATTTAATAAATGACATTAGATTTGTTACTGCCTATTAATAGAGCAATTTAGTGTATTGAGTTTTTAATACACTTTTAGGATAATTCTTGCCATACATTAATCTCATGAAAAGGTAACACATTTTTATCTGTTGTTTATTACGTTCATTGTTTATTTCTTATTGTACATACCAGCAATAGAATTTGTAATTACTTAATTAATTGAAGAATATTATAACTTTACAACTTATTAAAATAAATTTTCTATACAATTATATTTTCAATCAGTTTAAAATGCTGTTAAACAATGTTAATGCGAATGAAACATAAAAAAATGAATTCGTTAATAAAATATTACTGTTATGGTCTCGTCTTATGTGTAATTTATTTTATGACTCTTTTAAAAAATTTGTTTACTTTAAAGTTAAATCATTATCAGATTATTCCTTATTAATTTCTATACTCATTTTATAACATTACATGTGTTTTATTTAGATATCTTTATTTTTAATAATGGGCATTATTTCTGTAACAACAATTAATTAAGTTTAATGCCTAAATAAATTAAATTTTAAATATTAAATGGAGATAATAATACTTTTTCATCCTTTATAAATACTGTAAATTCATGTACTTACGTATTTTATATCAGTATACCTAATTTTATAGAAGCAATTTTCTACTATAAAGTATTGTTATGGGGATGCACAATATATACGACTAATAGCATTGTTTTGTATAGGTATAAATCATCTGTGTTATGTCGTATAGTTCAATATTTATATTAATTAATATACGTCAAGTTATAAAGAAGTACCATCTGGAATACAATTTTTCGTATCATAAAAAAGTTATAATTAATTGTTGTAGATAATAATGGCTTGTCAGCGTACAGATGCGCCTGACAAAACAAGTATAAAATGCTGCCAATTTACGGGATTGTCATCAAACAGCAAAATGTATTCCAAAGCTATCGTGTCCTTTGCTTTCCTAGCCATGGCGATCGCTGATAGTAAGTCAATTTTCTCGATTTATACATATAATTTACGTACAGCTTGTACACAGTTTTGCTTAAAGAATAGTCACTAAAATACTACAAAAAAATTTCTCCTATTAATAAAAAAGTTTTAAATTTATTAAATAAGTAATAACTAAATTATTGTATATTATATCTTATTTTATGACCGTACAATTGATGAACAATAAACAAACTAGAAGAAGGAAGCCATTAACGGTCTATCGATATTCGTAAATTCTCACAAGTGCTGAGACACGCGTATATCTCTTTATATAGAATCTCGATTTAATAACTTACACCGGCGTCTAAGGTACATAGGTTTCCCAATACCTTACTGATGAGTCAAGTAATGGAAACCGGGACGAAACGCCAACTTGTGATATTCTTCGCAAATCTTACTTTTCATAGGGTTTAATTTAATTAATCATTACTTTGATATTACATCGTTAAAAAAATTTTAATATATGTCTTTCAACATATTATTAAGATCCAATAAGATGCTATAAGCATCAGATTGTAAGATTGCTTGTCCATTTAACTGATATTACTGCGGTAGTGAATATGTATGCGTCAATGCTGAAAATCTATCAGCGTCGCGGGGGGGAACTATATACGCAGTATTTAAAATTCACACAATTATAATAAGCACTGTGATCCAGCTTTGACCGTTAATGGCTTCCTTCTTCTAGTTTGTTTATTGTATATTGTTGTAAAAATTACAGAGCAAATAGCAAAGTTTTGTTTCTAATTAAAAATTTTTTTCTAAAATAATATTTTATAAAGATATAATTTTGATGTGCTATGATCGACATCTTCCATAAATGTTTTCTTAAACACTATTAATTTAAATTGTAGTGCGAATCGGCCACAATATGCCACGTGTTCAGCTGCCTCATATTCGTAATTTTGAGACTCGTGTGGTTGGAGGTTCCACAGCACCAACTGGACAATACAAATTTATAGTTTCCCTTCAATTTTTGTCCCAACACTTTTGCGGCGGATCCATTTTGAACGAAAGATATGTTGTAACTGCAGGGCATTGTGTAGGTGCCGTTCCTATTGCAGGTCTTATTACCGTCAAGGCTGGAAAGTTCAATCTTAACACAAAAGAGACTACCGAACAGGCAGTCCGAGTGTCGAAAGCGATCGTACATTCCAAATATAGAGGGTAAGCAGAACGTTAGCAGTAAATACACGAACAATTAAATTTATTTATATTTAAGTAATATCTGTTTTATTTCTAATTAATATTATGTTTATAACTTATTTTTAATTGTACATATAGAGATAATCTTGAACATAATAGCTCTTGCATCAATACCGAACAGTAGTACTATTTGTAAAATAAATGTACAATGAAGGAAACTACTATTGACAATGTAATGTCGCATTATTGATATCAATATCGTGTGATCAGTAATGATTTCTTATAATTAAACCCACTCAAGTGTGACACTCCGATTTTAAGTTTTTAGTACGTTGTTCTCCAAATAAATATAAGCGTATTTTTTTATACGTTACCATACGCACTTTTAAGTGGTGAAAAACACCTCTTTGAAAAAAATCGGTTTTTTCTCTTTCGAAGCGAACATCTTCAAAACTATAAGAGATAGAAAAAAATTTTACATTGAAAATTGAATGGTTTTAAGAGTACTTTAAAACTATAATTAAAAACCTATAATTAAATAATATTTTTTTTAAATTTATTTATAATAATATTTATTTATAAAAACTAATTTTTTTAATTACATTTCTAAAGTACTCTTAAATCCATTCAATTTTTATTCTAGAAATTTTTTCTACCTCTTATTGTTTCGAAGATATTCGTTTAGAAAGAGAAAAACCGATTTTTTCAAAAGAGTGTTTCACCCCTTAAAAGTACGTATGAGCACGTATAAAAAAATACGTGTTCCTTATTTTTGTATGGACAACAACATATTAAAAACTCATTAAAATCGGAGTGTCATACTTGGGTAGGTTTACTGGTTAAAATATTAGAAAAATATATCTAATATTGGAAGTATAATATGATATTAGAAAGCTACATCTGAAATAAGTAATGATATACAAATTATATTTTATCATTTATATTGTCATATACACGTGTATTCAATTAATTCTGTAGATTAATACTATTCTTTCAGTAATACTACAACCGTCTTTATAGTTTAACACGTTAGCTGAAATATTTTTTTTAGTGTGTGTGTGTGTGTGTGTGTGTGTATTGAAATATATATTTTCTAATTTTTAGTGATGTTGGCCCGAATGACATTGCTTTGCTTAAGCTTGCATCCCCATTGAAATTGAACAATGACGTACAGGCTATCGCATTACCACAAGCAAACAGTGAACCAACTGGAGTGGCATGGCTTAGTGGATGGGGCTCTACCTCGACTACTAATTCTCCAATAATGCCATCTACACTTCAACATGTTCAGATGCAATTCCTCGATTACGTAGCTTGCGACAAAGCCATGACTAAACTTCTGGGATCTCCTTCTCCTGTTGATGAAACCAATATTTGCACTTCGCCAGCGCAGATACCACTTTCCGCATGCAACGTAAGTGCCAGACGTTCAGTAAATTCAGTTAATAATAATAACTTTGTTATTCTCTATTAATGTAGCAATTTAATATATTGTTTTTAATATATTTTTAGGGTGATTCCGGTGGTCCACTTATCTCGAATGAAGGAGGAAAACCAGTGATTCAGGGAATTGTATCTTGGGGTATTGTACCATGTGGTAGTCCAAACGCACCATCCGTATACGCTAAGGTATCCCATTTCATTTCTTGGATTGAACAGAACATCAAAAATTGACGATGGCAATATTGACGATGTATGAATGTATAATACTGAATAACGAATTATTACATATTATTTAACGTGTAAAATAAATATCCAGCATAAATTGAAATTAATGTTCTTTTTCTTCCTATCCTACATAATATTATACAAAAACTAAACATGAATTTTATGAGATAAACATTTGTGACAAAAGACATTGTTATTCTCATTTATTTTATTAATTTTATTTAATAGATAACAATAACAAATTTTTTTAAAATACCTATATCTATTTTAATGATCATTCAGAAATTAATTGAAAAGACGTCAAATAATTAACTAATACCTATAATTAACTTCAGTTTTATCTCAAATAAAAAAGAACATTATCTTTTTCAAATGATATGTGTTAAATAAACCATTAAATTAGGTTATTTATATAACCTAACACAAATAAATAAAAGACTGTCGAATAAGGCAATTAAAATTGACAGTCAATTTAATTTGTAATTCTATGCCAATTTCAGTTTATAATTGCATTTTCGATAAATAATAATCCTCAAATAGTTCATACATACATATATACATATGTATATAGAAAAATATATGTAATTAAAAAATATATTTAAAACGTAGAAATAAGTATTAATTATTGATGACCGTTATTTAAAGATATACTCCGTAATTACTTTATTTTCGATATAAACTCTTTATTGGGATTGCACTTTAAATCTGAAATTTATTTTTATCACAGCTAGATTTTAATCTTGATTATAAATAAATTTATTTATTCTTTCATATTGTGTATCAGATTGTCAATTTTTCCGCATTCCTTTCATATCTTTATTGAGGGATTATGATTGATCATATACAGATTGATTACAGATCATATATATGATCTGTTAACAATAACACGATCAATCATAAATTTATAACTTAAAAAAAAACTAAAAAAATGTTTTATGGCTATTTAAATAAACAATATTCAAATCTAAAGACCGTCAATGTAAGAACGTAACTAATACGAATACGAAGCCTATAACAGTCTAGCTTGGATTTTAGATACTTATATATGTAATTTTGCGTGAATTGATATACTAATATGTGTAGTCCTTCCAAACTGCGCGCCGAACAATTGTCGGTATTAAAACGCAACTCTAATAAACTACCATAGTACACGAATTAAATTGATTAACAATTTAATAATTAATTGATGCTCTTTTTGGCATTTTATATCGATGTTAAACTATATTAAGATCTGAAAATACTAAATCTGGAAATAATTCTTCTTATTGCGAAAAATATTACCTCGGTCGGGAATCGAACCCGGATATCTTACTTTACGCGCAAGTGTCCATAACGTTTATTACTTCACATATACCAATTATTGCGAAGAATATTATTAATAAGGCCTCGGTATTTAAATAAACTTTATATTTACGTAGCACATTAAGACAATAATTTAAAATGTATGGAATCAAAGGTGGCATGCACACAAATAGAAAGAAAGTTGATATTTTTATAATTATTGTTGTTTCTCTTGAATTAATTTATTTCAAAATTATATCAGAATAATTAGAGCATCTTTTATTTAAAATACCTATATCTATTATAGTTTTACATCTATTATTTTAACATAATTTTATTTGAATAGCTTTGTTTGATTTCCGCATAGGCACTTTTATCTAAAAAAGAATAAATCTCGGAAAACTTTTATATAGATATGCTTAAACATTATATATATAAATATATGTTTAAATATACATAAATATGCAAATACAGAAATTTCACCTAAAACATTGTTCTAATGGAGATTTGATCTAACTGCAAATTAAATAAATTAAACTTTATATATAAAATATGTATAATATATTTGGTCCCTTTATGGAACTTTCAGTTTTTATAATACATTTTTTTCAGCATATCTAATTTTTGTAGAAAACGTTTTGTATTGCAATATTCTGTAAATGTGACAAATTAGAAGATTTGTTTTATTTAAATCAGCTACATCACACACACATACCACCTAATTCAATATTTATGTCAATACACCTCAAGTAACAAAGAGAATTTCAGCACACAATATGATTTTTCTTATCGTAAACGTATCATGAATTTTTATAGATTACAATGAATTATCGCATTATCGTTACTGATATCTTATGATGCAAGTGCACTTAACCAATATAAAATGCAGCCAATTCATTGGATTAACATCAAACAGCAAAATGTTTCCCAAAGTAGTCGTGCTTTTTGCTTTTCTAGCAGTGGCAGTCACTGGTAAGTCAATTTTTTCGGTGTATATATATATATTTTTTTTTATTGTATTAAATGTCGTATCTAAAAAATTTACGTTAAAATAATACATAAAGAAACTTTTTTATTAGACAATCTTAAATTTGTTAAACAAATAATAATTAAATTATCAGTTCAAGAATTATGAAGCAAATAACAAAAGAGAGATTTAATTTTTATTTATTATTACAAATTCTTTTACGGTCTGCATTTTTTAGTTGAACTTCTTTATTATTCCTCTTTATTTTCACGTTGGAGAAAAAAAAGGAAAAATAAACTGTGCAAGGAGTTTAAATAAAACTAACATCTAACCTTATTTCATGAGAAGCTATTTCAGATGCTCTTATTATCAATTATTCCTGTCACAAATATACATAGTTACACAAATATTAATTCAAATTTTAGAAAAGCCCCGAGTCGGGCTTCAGATGCCGCCAATTTTGCCATATTTTTCTCGCCCGATTCTGCCTCAAGTAGTCGGAGGTGAAGATGCACCAATAGGAGGTTACCCATTTATAGTTTCCCTTCAAATGAATTCTCGGCACTTTTGCGCCGGATCTATCTTGAACAAAGAATGGGTCATAACAGCTGCACACTGTGCTCAGGCAGTTTCTTCTTTGAACCTTCTTTGCGTTAAGGCTGGAAAATACAACATTCGACTTAATGAAGCTTCCGAACAGACGGTCCAAGTAATAGAAGTTTATGTACATGAAAATTATCAAGGGTAAGTCAAATATTAAACAGCAATAAGGACTCGTAATTTATATACTAATTAATATCTATTTCTTATTAATGAATATATAATTTTGTAATTATACGTCATATTTTATACGATCTTATACTTTTTAGTGGTGTTGGGCCATATGACATTGCTCTGCTTAAGCTTGCTGCTCCATTGAAATTAACGAAGGACGTACAAGCAATTGAATTAGCACCGCCAGAAAGTGAACCAACTGGAAAGGCATGGCTTTGTGGATGGGGATCCACCTCAACTAGCATTTTTCCCAGAATGCCAGATAAACTTCAACAAGTTCAGATGGAGTACATCGATCGCACAACTTGCGACGAAGCCGTCAGTAGTCTGACAGGATCTTCTCCTTCTCCTGTTCACAAAACCAATATCTGTACTGGGCCATCGAATAAAGCAACTTCCGCATGCAGCGTAAGTACCAGACACGTTCGCCAGATAATAAATTCAGTGAATGGTAATAGCTTTGTTATAGTCTATTAATTATTTAATGTTGAGTTTTTAATACACTTTCAGGGCGATTCTGGTGGCCCATTAATTTCATGTAATGGACAAAAACCGTTACTCACTGGAATTGTATCTTGGGGTATTTTCCCATGTGGCACTGCCGGTGCACCATCCGTATACACCAAGGTATCCAGTTTCAATAATTGGATCACACAGAAAACCGGTAATTATTAATAGTAGCAATATTGACAATGTATCAAATGTATACTGAATGACGAATTATTGTATATTATTCGACGAAAAATAAACATGTAGCTTAAGTAAATAATGATCTTATATAAGTAAATAATGTCTCTTATTCCAATCTACATATAGTAGAAAACTAAATAGTAATAAATTTGATCAAATGAAGAAAACTATGATAACTATTCGTGTTTTAATTTTATTCGACAAATAATAGCCATACATAAATTATCTTATAAATATATACTTGTCGCAGTGGCACTGGCTAATACATCTTATATAATACCTATTCTAAGTAATTAATATACTTACATGAAACAAAAGCTATTCTTGAATCTAATAGTTAATAATAGAATAATCATATAATTATTACAAAAATAAATTTAACGTTGCAAATGTCAAACTGAAATTATTATTAAACTTATGCGGAAAAGCATGAGGTATAGCTTCACAAAATGTATATGCAATATACATGCAAAATAAATTAATTACATATATTTTCAATTTATACCTTTTAATACGTAAATTTAAATGCGATAGATACCAAACTATTGCACTGTAAAGAATTATTTTCAGATTTTATGCCATTGATTGATAATATTATTATATTATGATTAAATAAGAATACATTTATAGAATATCACAAAAAATAGTTTTGAATAACCATGCACTAATCCGAATGTTAAAAATTAAAGACTTCTTTAGACTTTTATACAGTATATAAAATATAGTAGCAAGGCAAATAGTTGAAAAACTCATTTTCCTAGTCAAATGCTCCAATCAAATATATTTTACAAATGTATATTTAACAATTCATTTACGACTGATAGCACTCGTGATTACTTTTATTGCGGCCAGTGCTTCCTTGGCTGTTGGAATGATATATTGCGGTGGAAGTAGAAAGCCGTGTCTGCCAGTGTCTCGCAGTTCAATCGTGTATGTATATTTGATCTTGGCTAAAGCCTTAGCCCAGTCATCAGAGCCACCAGCAGCAGGGTACAACAATATCGCGCTATTGCCGACGGTGTACACGGTATTATTGCCTCCTTCATACTTCATATATCTAGCTGCTTCAAGCCCTACCGCGTTAAGATCTCGATAATCAGGCGGCAAACATTGATCATATCCCCATGGATAGAGAATATATTGACCATATGAATGAAATGATACATATGCCTGTAAGAAAATTTAATGGAATAGTGCAGTGACATGAATGGAATATTTATAATTTATAAACTTAATTTCTGAGATTAAATTGTCCGTGGATTGATTGATATAAAATGTTATTATTATAATATATACACATATATATTTGTAAAATATTTTGAATTTAAAAAAAATCCGTATGATCTAACTATTATTATGTTCACGATATTAAGTTAAAAATAGTTGTTGATAGCATTGCTATAATTGATGCATTTAAAAAAAATAAAATCATTAATGCCAAGTAAATACAAACTCGTGGATTTTTATGCAAAATATTTTAACTAACCTTGAAATTTGCTAAACTGTTTTCGAAGAAATTTTGAATTGCTTTAGTTTCTGGCTCTGAAAATGGTTTAGATCCTGGGTACGTTTCATGACACATATCTTTGCTAGTTCCTTTTCCACCCCAGCGATAACCAAAGTTCCTATTTAAGTCTACACCTGAGCATACAACGCCTTTCCTTCTATTTTTTCTCCATAAACGATCGTATTTAAAAGTATATCTGTAGCCATCTGGATTGATAACTGGCAGAATGTAATAGTCTGTTCCTGAAACGTCGCTATTTTCTACCAGATAATCGATGATATAAGTCACAGCTGCAGGTGAGATCCATTCTCTGGCATGTATACCACCATCGATCCATATCGCAGGTGCATTCTTGTTCTTACCGTTACTAATTCTTAGAACCTTTTAATATTTATAAAACTATTAAGACCTTAAACATCAAATTTTTTTATCAGTATTAAAATAGATTAGATGGTTACCACAAGGGGCTGTCCTTCGATGGAATTACCGATGTGCTGAACGGAGCAAACATCGGGATACGTGTTCGCGAGATAATCCAAGTAGTTATATATGTCATTTATTTCATGGTAGCTGGTCCATTCCATTCGATGACCTGATGGATATATCTTCAAGATTATTCAGAGATTGCACGTTCCGTGCCTTCGTGAGCTTGTATAGCAACCGCTTCGTAGATTCAGCTCAACACAAAACGCAGGCATTTTCATCTTACAAAATACTTTTCTCAATTCTCATTATATTATACTATACATTTGATATATCATTCTGAATCGACGAAACGGATTAAGCGCGTCTAAAGAAAGCTCACCCCTAAAATGCCACGGAGCACCCCCACCATATACACTAACAGGATAACGAAGAGGACGAGGACGTGGATATCTACGTCTGACTCCCTGCCACCAAGCGTAACGAGCTAAAAAATTACTGAATACTCGATGACGAAAGCGGTGCACTTATTATAAAAATTCCCAAATACTCATATTTATTCCTATAGTTTAATTCGCGTTTCAGCGACTTTTCGATTTTTTCAATACTGTTTACAGATGTAATAATTTCTTGCACGAAAACCGAATCTCATCGAATCCGCTTTGGATAACGGCATCGAGATCAGATCGACCGACTATGCAAACGATCGCAGAAAACGATGAAACGTCGCTGAACGCCTATACGTGCGAAGACTACGTGTGTGTTTAACACACGCCTTACAAGTAAAGTATAACTGTTAATGTTAATCAGCATTGAAGCGAAACCGGGTTACTAAGTGGGATTCACACAAGGTCAACAACCTCGATTCATTTTAAACTGTTTTTCTTTGAAAATGAATAATAATTTGAAGTCATTAAGGTAAATGTACCAGTTCGTGGACACGACCCAATTGTTGGACAAATTGTGACAATTTTAAATATTAAGCTTTTGATGATATGTGTTACTCTAAATGAATTTTTAAGCAATTTTTCATATTATTTAGAAATTAAGTATTATATAATTTTTTCATATTAAAAATGATACTTTTGTAAAAAAAATTTCGTTTATGGACAATTGTCCATTTATTAGGACATTGACATATATGCGTGTATCAATTATTGGACATTAGCGTACCTGTTTACTGCAAACATATTTTGTATATATTACATATAAAACTTTATATAAAACTTCACTAATTACAATTTCGATAAACTTTTTTGAACAATCTTGATTGATAAGTAAGTAAAATGCGATTCTCTTCTATAATAAGAAAATTGCTTATTATTTGTCTAATAATTGGGTCATACTTTTATGGACACAGAGACACGTCACATTTTTTGTCCAATAATTAGGACATTTGAATGATATTATATTTATGACTAAATACAATTTATAATAAACACAAATAACATATTTGATAATGGATTTAGTTTCAGAAAACATCCATTCTTACTAAGCATGTGTAATAAACTAAAATTTTAATGTTTCTAAAGTTTAAATAAATGATTTCGTCGTGCAATTCCTTAACTGTCCAATAATCGGTACATTTACCTTAATTAATGTATTAACTTTCCTGTTTGGAATATGTGTATTCCAGTTTACGATTTTAACAATAACTTACACATATTTAACACATACATGTATTACATAAAATGGCACAATTTTCAAAATATATTACTAATCTACACTAAACAATTTTCACATTGTTATATAACTTATAGTTTGGAAATTATACTTTCCAATAATTTTTCCGTTACAAAATACAATTGTAATAATTAATGTAACATGAAAATGACCCGATCGATATCAAAACGTATGTAATGTAACCGTCTTTATTATGTTTTGAATTAAATCTCTTTATTACATAAAGGGTCTGAGTCCTTCAACTTTATTTTTGTTTTATACTGATATAGTTATTATTAATAAGTATTCTTATAGTTTTTTGGTTATAATGTTCACTGTATTTTTTTACATAATGTCCTAATTGTTACAAATACTATAACAATTTAGTTTAATTACGACACAATTAAGAATATTTAATTAGAACAATGGAATTTTAAATTTATTTTAATTATTTAATTTGCAATTTTAAATAAATAATAAATTAAGTAAAGAGAAACTATTTAAATTACGTAATCCAATTAAAAATTAACAACTATCTGTCATTAGCAATAACTCACTTTTGAGTGTATATATTTGAATAAATTATTAATTTATTTTAATTAGCTGCTTTTGCTACATGACTAATCAAACAATAATTTCTTCCATGACTTTACAAATATCAATGAGAAACAAATTACAAAGACTAATTATTGCTTCTTTTCTATTATTAATGAAATTGTTAAAAAATGAATAAAAATAATAAATTGAGAGTAATATTAATTATGAAGCATAAACACACACAATAAGCAACGATGACTTGTGATACGAAGTATTTAAGTTCTTAATAATAATTACCAATCAAATGATAGTAATTTTCTGAAAATTTTATGAATCAGTGAAATAAGATAACTGTAAAGATTGATTGCTTCTTTTTCATTATTAATGAGATTGTCAAAAAGTGTAGAAAAATGATGAAGAGCGACTAATTGTGAAGCATAAACAATAAGCTGTGATAATTTGATGAGAAGTGTGACCACTTAATAATAATTATTATTAAAAGCATTCAAACAATGCGTGAATATATCAATAAATGTTATTATATGTAAATATTAATAGTATTGTTATTACTATTTATCTTTGAAGAATGTTTTATCTTCCCTGCGATTATATTGCTGAATAATTTCATGATATAGCAATTAAAAAAATGATAAAGTTTAATGCATTGTAATAAAAACCTTTGCGTCCTTCAAGTTCTGCTTGCATTGTGGTTGTAAGTCGAACATTCCCGTCATCAATCGCTTTTTGCACATCTTTGATCAGAACATCATATTTTATTCTGCAATTGTTTAATAACGAATCGACGTCATAAAGCATCTGGCTTCGAACGAAAATATCGATAGCCATTGGTTGGTTCGACCATATTAAGTATGCTATGTAAAAAAAAAACTGTTAGATTTTGTTTATAGCTGTTGATCTTGTAAAACTTTTAATAATGTACATCCATTTTGAAACACAATAAAATATTACAATTAATATAAATTTTATTTATTATCTACAACCGTGTTGATCGTGTTGCTCCACCAAATCATTTACTGAATCGTTATGCTTGTAGATTCTCCACACTTGGTCGCCAACGTAATAAACTTTTTTACTGAAAACTTCTTTGAAATCTTCTTTAGCCGTTCTCTCATAAGCTATAGATTCGTCTGTTTTAAGATTTACGGTAGCATCAACGAAGACAACGATTGTTATCGTTATCAACGCCACCAATTTTATGTGATCTCTTCCACTGTTCCTCATTTTAGCTGAAACTGTTCTTAAGAGCAAAATATACCCAGCTTTTATAATACGCGACACGATTGCAGATCGGGAGTAACGGAATTACTCGATCGAAGATCCGGAGTTTGCCGAATCCAACCGTAACAAATTCATATTAAAATAAAAATGCACTGTTAACGAATACTTTTGAGTTAGACACTCTCGTGTGTATATGTACTTTTATTCATAAAAGAATATATATAATGAATCTAAACAGTCTTCTTTTGATTTAATGTATTTCATTACATGGTCGAATCACGCGTCGGTTGTAGACATGTTTATATGTATAAAGCTATATTTTCACAATAACATCAAATCAACAATTAAAAATTGCAGGATAAAATCTTATATTCTGGATTATAAAATATTTGGAATTAATTTTATTTGGAATTACTTTATTTTCCTTAAAAAACATAGTAGAAATTTAGAGAATAATTCCAACAGTTACACACTTTTACAGTTACTTTTTATAACAATGTGATAACAATGTTGCAATTTTTTTGACTGTAATGATAACTAACTAAACGCTTAAAATAATTTTAGCCTCTTAAGCGTTTAGTTGTAATGTAACTTATAAGACGCCTTTATTGTAACAGACCCATTGATGCACAATTGCACAACTACTTTATTTAATTTAGGACACCGCGCCGACGCGACTCTTGACGACGACGGTACAAATCGCGGGCAGACACGCGGCTTCTGCACATACTTCTTGCATCGTTCTTGCACCGCTACGTCGTGATTACAATTAATAAAAAAAAGTAGTACTATAATATCTGTATCACCTGAAGACATTATTTGGGACAAAATCGTAAAAGTATGAAGTGCTTATTGACGATCATTATTCTCATGGCTATTACCTCGACCATTAAGGTACCGTTTGCTTTGCGTATTTAAGACGATTTTGATTATATCTTCCCTAACCGTAACTGCATTTTTTTGATACCGTTAATTCAACGTTTGGTATAGAAATTAATTGTTTTGTTGCATTAAAAGAATACCTCTTTCTTCTTTCATTTGTATATTTGATATCAATTTCCGATGACTTCTAATATTAATTGTTTACAGTGATAATGAATTCTCATAAAAAAGGAATTTAATTTATAGTAAAATATTATGTTCGTCCGCGTTGAATTCTTATGATGGATATTTATTTGGTAAATTTTGATCAAAAAGGTATAATTTTATAAATCCTACAATGAAGATTCTATATCCGTTATATATTAACATATATTAACATATATTAACATAATAATATAATAACTTGAATGTTATTTTACAATAAATTAATTAACTTGAAGTTCGGAATTATTTTTTTATATACAGTGAAAATAAAAATATTATAGATGAAACAGTAATAGGTCAGACGAACGTGTCTATGTATTACCTTTATATGTTGTAAGGTTTCTTTGATCTCTTCGATACATATGTGCATACATAAACATACGCATCTATCATAAGCTCTACACACAAATAATTCTTCTGTAAATGTGTATGTTGCCTTGAATGCAACCCTACATGCAACTACATAGATGTGCTCTTGCAAATATAATTAAATTAATAGAAAGGAAAGTTCTATTCTGTTACTTGATACTTTTGTGTTAGTTTTAAGCTCTTACAATATTCAAAGCACATTTCAAATAATATTAACAGGATTTGCAACATACATTTAACATTTTTATAAATATTTAAAAAAATAACAATATCGAAATGTAATCGCAACTTTTTGCATTACAATTAAATTTAATTTATGTATAAAATAAAATGTATTATTGAAAAAATAAAAGTTAATATCTTCCACACATCTTAGATAATGTTAAATAATGGTTAATAAATTATAATAATTACGTCTGTAATTCTTTTATGCGGGGTTTACAATAGAAGTCGTAGTGATCGTAGGGTCTTAAGTCGTAGAAAATTGATCAATCATAGTTATAGTATTCTTTTCACATTCGACTGTGATTGGTTAAATTTCTACGGCTTAATTTTCTACTACTGCTACCATTTCTATTGTAGATCTCGCATTATATTTTATTGTTTTTACACTTAATCGTCTAAATTAGGATATGTCTAACATTGATAATCACCCGATAGGAGTTGAAACCTTTGTATGTATTTAACTATGTTTATATTACCTTTACTTTTATTTACGAACATTACATCTATTGATTTTAGCTTGTAGCCTTTCTCATATTTAATAAAAAAACCGTCATATTAATTTATTGTAAGAAATAAACGCGGCGTCATATTATCTAATTTGTTTCATCTAAACATTAAAAAAAGAGACTGCATACGTAATATATAAATTTACACGGAATTAGTCCAGATCTACAATAGTTGTTTTAAGCCTTAAGCCGTAAGAAATTGACCAATTACAGTCAAATACGAGGAGAATAATTGACTGTAATTCGTCCATTTCTTATGACATAAGGCTTAAAAATCTATTGTAGATCCGGGGTTATAATAGCACCTAAGATCCAGCTCAACCGTTGAAGGCAATTTCTTATTAGTTGTGTTTTTCAAATGTACGGTCCGATAAGATTTAATATTTAAATATTATTGTTTAATTTAAACACATACACACGTTTATTATTTAAAATTCTAGAAAATAATCAATATTTTGATAATTTTGTATTAGTCTTGGAGTAGAGCAGTGTGTCAATTTTAAGATTGGTTATAGAATAAACTCTCTCTGTGTTTTGGCCAATTACGAAACTTGATTTCTCTTATACGTCAATAATAAAGGACTCCGTTTACCTACATCACATTTGCCGATAGTTTATTTGCGCATAACAATTGTCTGCAAACTCTATTGCCTACATGCACTATATTGCATAAATGAGAAAAATATATACTTGCACACACGACACTGTTGCGCACAAACTGCATTACACACCTATAATATTATTGTCTACAGATCGATTGCCTACAAACATTTTTGCGCATAAATATAATATGTATATTGTATAATTAAGATATAATAGATACGAAGACACGTTTGCACACATGTATTATTACTAAATATCGGATTTTTTATGCAGATATTTTTGTAGCATGCACAAATATGCAAATATGCACAATATACACAAAACAATATGCATTTTTAAAATCCTTTTGCAATAAGACAAATTTCTATTTTGATATTATAATATTGTCCAACCTGCTTCCTAAAAAATATGAAATTATATAAGAATCCGATGTTTAATTATTACTTACAGATCGAATGCTTATAAGCACTATTTTCTGCTTAAAAACACAAATTATTTTTTTATATAATTTAATCTTAATTTTAGATTTGTACGCAAAAGTGCTTGCAATCGATCTGTAGATAATAATATTATGTGTCTAATGAAGTTTGTGCGCAATAGTGTCGTGTGTACATACGTCTTTTCCTCTTAATTTTATATTTATGCGTGATAGTAATCGTAGACAATAATTTTGTGCGCAAACAAGCTGTCAGTAAATATGTAGGCAAATGGTGCTGTAGACAATCAATTTGTAAGCAAACGGAGCCTTCACCGTCAATGTCGCTGTCGAACACTTGTGAACACTTGGAAAAACCATTTACGTATTTTACAAATAGTTAAATGTATATATACTAAAAACAAGTGATGTTTTAACATCTTTACCTTAATTAAAAATAATCTTATTGACAATGTTGGAACGTATCTAGGTAAAAGTATCTAGATACAATATAATAGATATTTTAGCTGTACCTAAGTGAATTATCTAGATATTTATAGGCGGAGATACCTATATTTGTATCTAGTTATTTTTTGATACGGTATCTTTTAAGTTTTAGATACATAGATACAATGTATTTATGCACAAATGCTGTCGAGTCTTGTTGCATCACCCGTCTTGGACGGACGCGTCTTTGTCGGGTGCTTGTTTCTGTTATATTTTTGAAAAGTGTTGCCGACTTTGACTATGCCTTGCGATTATTCAAAATCCGCCTAGCGGTCCCGCGATTTTGGATGTCCCGTTTATTCGTCCTGACGCGCGTATTAGCGGCGTGACCATGACGACGCGACGTCGTGGACGCAGACGCCCGGTGTTCGTGCGATTCTCACCATTTTCGCGGGTTATTGCGTCATTTTTTTAAAAAGACTTTACGTTACTCACGTCTTGTGCGGCATTTTTCGTTACTGGCTGTTTCGACCTAGTTCTGATCAAGTGCCATTTATTGAAGAAGAAGAAGACAAATACTGTCGCCGTGCCTGCCAACAAGCGACACAGTACAACACAGTAATCATCTCATTCTTGTTTAAACATTGACGAACAATGAGGACGTAATGGTACAATGTGCCTTACACCGTATCTGTGTCGCTTGTTGGAAGGCACATTAAATCAGCTCAGAAGTTAGCAATACAGTACTAGTTCCTATGCACTAATATACTTAAAGACCGATATTCTTACGGTTAAAACTATATTTAAAAATTACTAAAAATTTATGTAAGATTAATTAAAATTAAGAAATTGATAACGTACTATTAATTTTATGATTTATTAGTTTCGTAGATATATATATGGTACATATGCATGTAAAATTGGAATTCGTTCTATGATAATATTGACAGAGTACTATTATTAAGAGATCATCTATCAGCAATTTGCGAGAAACTCCAGAAACCTAAATTAAAAAGCACTGAAATTGAGTTTCTAGTTGAATATGTCACAGTAATGAGATTGATCGCAAAGTCTTTAGATTTCCTGCAGAATGAATTTTGCTATTTAGGCTACGTAATTCCTACCTCACTTCAAATTAAAAATACTATAAATTCACTAATAAGGCAACCTCTCGAGATGTCAAATTTTGATTTTGATGGAACTTTGTGAACTTGTAGCTTACATAAAGAAATGAATTTAGAAAAGATCAGTTGCGGCCAAAAAAAATGCATTGAAAAGGTGAAATAATTCCTTACGTGTACAAAAGTTTTCAGCTTTTTCTGTTATATTTCGAAAACTATTTGAGATATAAAAAAATGTTTTATACAAAATTTGACAACAAAATTAGCTGTATTTATTCGCGTATTTAGAATAATTATTTAATAATATTTTGAAATTTTTGGTGGTATATTTTGGACTTGAACAACAGTAAATCTAAACCTTATATCTTGATAACGGTTTCACATCCAAAATTTAAATTGAGATGTTGAATAGTAGCGATGATGATTACACTTACAATTAGTAAAAATTTTATTTTTATACGAATGTGCAAAGTTGTACCGATGGAAAGTAGGCACAAATAAGGAGAGGAACTCTTCAACGAGTAATGATGATGAAAATTTTTTTCATATCTTTTTCATCAAGAATTTCAATACAAATAATTCAATAGAAAAACAAAACGTTGTACAAATGGAATATTTACGCTACTTTGAAGATAAGAGCAAGACTGTTGATTCGTTACTTAATTATAATCTAATTCAAAAATATTTGAATAGACAGTATATAATACTATTCTGCCGTCCTCAGCACCTGTTGAAAGGCTGTTCATACACAGTTCAGGTGGCTAAATTTTAATTCCAAAAAGAAATCGATTGTTCGACACAATATTTGAAACTTTATTAATTTTAAGAAAACGTGAGAAATAGAAAAACTTAAAAATATTTGTAATATTATGTAGATCTTCCTTTAAATTGTTTTGTAATGTACAGCATTGTAAAGTTATATTTTGTAGTCTCTATATTTTCACATTATCGAGACATTTTTTAAATATCGAGATATTTTTTAATATGTTAAAATAAACAAATGAAATGTGATATTTAATTTACATTGCTTATTACTTTCTGTTTTCTTATTTTCTCCTATGTTTTCTTTTTTTGTTGAAAGTATCTAAAAAATATCCAAATTTTCAGATACTTTTTATTTATATGTATATCTATACCTAGGTAATTGTAAAAAATGTATCTATATTTATACATATATCTAAATACTTTTCCTACACAATACTTATATCTATATTCTATATCTAGATACTTTCAAACGGTATTTGTTCCAACACTGCTTGTTGATTTAACAACAGTATTAATGAAACAAATAAAATTTTATTAAAACAAAAGCATATTTTTTGGTTGAGAAATTTGTACGAAATTGTTCCAAATGTTGTCCAAATGTGTCCGAATTCATTCGAAATTTCTCCGAAAATTTAGAAAATTGTTGAAATGTATTAAAACAGATTCGGTATTGAATTGATATTTGTATATTTTCGGTATTTTCAATTTAATACCGTCAAACAATTAAAGTGACTCAATGTGTCTGACACTGATTGGCCTAAATGTTCTAAAGACCGGTTTTTGAATATTGAGAATAATGTTTACAATATGGTATCATTGTGAACATAGTGAGCCTCCTCACTCCCGGTAAAATATGCAATTATAATAAATCTATTTTCAAAATTAACCTAAATTTTCTTACTTTTGGCATACTATTCATTTCTTTCTCTTATTTTTCTTTAATTACTTATTTATTTCCATTTATTGTAATATGTTCTGTTAGATGGAATTAATATCAGATTTTATTCCTTGGTTGTGAGGAAATTTACTGTGATTAAACATCATTACAGACAAAATTAGATACTTTTCATCAAATTCGGTAAGAATGTCTGAATTTATCATTTTTTATATTTTTCGGACAACTTTTGACACATTTTTTCTATTAGGGTAAATATTGATTTGTTTCATTAATGGTGTTGTTAAAGTAACAAAATTATTTTTAGTTAATATTGTTGATACTACATTATTTTTTTCAGTGTAGATGTAATTTTCTTCAAGTATAAAATAAAAATGGTTTTCCAAAAACTATTTAATAAATACAAAATGCTATTTCCATTTTAAGTACATGCTTTTTAATTTAATTAAATATTACACCTTGTTCTGCGAAAACTATGGAACGAAATAACGCTCGTACAAGAAAGCGTTTTCAATTTCAACATAAACTAATTTAGTAATTTAGATAGACAAAAATCTTTATACTTTGCAATAATTAGCAACGTAATAACGTAGTAACATCAACTTTCCATTATGAATTTCAATGTGCGGGCTAGAATATGATGGTACTAGAATTACTTATTTATCAATGTTTTTCTTAACAGCATTACTAAATAGTAAACTGCACACTTGTTCATAACTGTTTAAATAATGCCATCTTGTACTTTAACGCCATGTGATCCCAATGTATGTAATTTTAATTAAATGTAACATTTTTTATAACTATAAATTCTACATATTGTACTATCTATATTTATCGTATTTTGAAACATTAACTATAATACAATTTCTTTATAATATTTTTACGCATTTTTATAGATGTTTGAAAAGATCACTTTGATAAGAATGTAATTTCCTTGTAAGTTCTATTAAAAAAATTAGTATAGGGGAGAATGTCCTAAATCGGACTGTGTCCCAAATCGGACCTTTTTAATTTAATTAAATACGGTTAAGCAGATTTACGTGCTATTTATAATGTAAAGTCCTTATAAGACATCGAACATGTGACAGCAGTTTGGCAGTACTTTGTCATAACGTTCATAGAATAGACATAAATATGTATTTTCAGCTATCATGCGAAAATATTTTAAAAAAGAAGATGCTTGTAAATCATTATTTAAAAGATGTTAAAAATTTGAACGGTAATTGACTTAAAATAATTAAAGAATGTAGAATTCAAAAATATCAAGAGTTTTGTGATTACTTTTGCGGTTTATTATAAAATTTGTTCCAATAGTTCGAAAGAACCTGTGTCCAAATCGGACCGAAAAATGCATTTTTACATTTTCCATTATAGTTCGACACAGGTAAGAGATACGTCAATGATTTGAAGCAAAAAGTGAAGGAAATTAAATGATTTTTCGAAAGGCACCATTGGTTTTATGATCTGACTTTATTTACGCCTTGTAGAGAACAATAACTGCAAATAGGTCCGGTTTAGACCACTCTCCCCTACTATATATTGTAAATTCCTTTGTTACTACAATAAGCTAGTTATAACATGCTTATTAAAGATTATACTTTGCAATAGTGCATATTTCAGGCAGAAACGTTTAAAGTTACTGATCAAGTATATTTTGATATCATGATTGATAATCATCCAGTTGGCAGGATTGTTATTGGTCTGTTCGGCGATATTGCACCAAAAACGGTGAAAAACTTTATCACTCTTGCAACAACTGGAATAGATGGAAAAAAATATGCAGGAACCAATTTCCATCGCGTAGCAAAGAGATTTATGATTCAAGGTTACGTTTCAATTTTTTTGATATAAAATTATTTTTATGTATTTATTATTACATACATTAAATTATAAATTCAATTTGTGATTATGGGTATGTTACAGGTGGCGATGTTGAAAATCGCGATGGTACTGGTTCCATTAGTATTTATGGAAAATTTTTTGACGATGAAACTTTTGAGATAAAACATGGACCATTGATCATCAGCATGGCAAATAGAGGAAAGAACACAAACGGTTGTCAATTTTTCATTACTACTATACCAACTCCTTGGCTAGATGATGACTATACAGCATTTGGAAAAGTAATAAAAAAATATATAATTATATATAAAAAATATACTTAATTTGTTATCTGTTTGTGTTTTACATATTTGAAAAATAATCAGTCGGACAATTCTTTTTACTTAATATCTTAATACATTTTAAGTTAATAGATTCAACACACTTTTTTGTTGATTAATTTCGTTAAATAATTTTTCTGTGATAGGTGATTAGCGGCGAAGCAGTAGTCTTTAAGATTGAACAAACCAAAACGGATAAAGATGAATTTCCACTCGTGCCTATAATAATTTACGATAGCGGAATTCTTCCAACGAAGCCATTTACTGTATCAGATAATCCTCACGAGTAATTTAACATTATTGATGCGACTTTAATATTATTAAATTAATCATTTGTTTCTTTTCCCTGACTTTTTCATGGCTTAATTAAGTTGTTGCACTTTCTTTTATTAATTAAAGACTGTATGTTAATAATATTTGCACCTTATAAATTGAGAGGCGTAAATGTTGTAACAATAATTAATTAGTTAAGTAACATTTTAGTAGATGTAAAATTAAAAATACGAATATTTTATATGCTATATATTTTATATGCTTTGTTAGCTTTATAGGCTTGGAGCTGCATACACTTACAATTTATGTTACTTTTCAAAACAATATACAATATTTATATACTTGATTGTTTTGTACTTTGATTCTGTAAACAAAAAGACTGCTTTATAAGTATAGAAAAAAATAAACGTTAAAATTTTAATACTCTCGGAAGGTAGATTTGAATTTATTCTTTAACGTATACATATTATGCATTTTCTTTATGTTTACTTTTATCTTCATAATAACTTTTTTAATGACACGACTAAATCCATAATTCATTAATGCAATATTAAAATATGCATATTTGCAGTGCATGGGCGTGGATTAAGGCGACCTGCATACCGTTGGGATTTAGCTTCTCGATACTTGCTATCTTTCATTATATGATGAAACAATTGGATGTCTAAATGACAATCTTGATATGAAAGACAGTTTTAAAAAATAAATTTACGTCTTTATTAAATATAAAAATTTAATATTTATTTTTTTATACATACATATATAAAATTATGTATAATTGTATTATGTATTGTTCTTATATATAAGAAGGTTACATTACTTGTATACATTTGATACACAACGGAGTTTGGTTAGCTTCTTATTACGTAAAATGAACGAGGAGAAAGGAATATCAGACGCCATCTCTGTAAAGATCATGTCATTGTTAAAATTGTTATTTAGACATAAACATAGAAATATAATAAACATAAAAAATTACTTTATTTACTTTGTAATATAAATTAAATAAAATTCAAAATATAACAATACAAAATAACCGGACCTTCTTATAAAACCCTATATATTATTTCTTAATTACACTAGTTTACATCCAAATGTTTGAACTTTGAATCAGACAAGATTTTTTAAATAAATTTTGAATGTTAAAAAATAAATTTTACCAGCACGATAAATTTCTGAAATAAGTAAGGTTCAATGTATTTTTTGATAATATCGTGTATTTTTGGAGCATTTTAACGATTTTTTTTCGTAAACTTGGTGTATTAGAGTATTTTTTTTAATTTAGGAATTCGGCAGATTTAGCATATAAAAACTACAAGAATCTCTTTTTCTTAATTAAAAATTGTATTTGATACATTTGTATAACTTTGTAGAAATTACTGAGAAAGGTATTATAATTTGTCACAACAATTATTAATTAGTTGAATTTTTTATCAATGTATGAAGTTAAAGTTATGAATATTTCTATTTTCTCTTATATACACTTTGGCTACGCGATCCATTTATTTGATACTACACTGCTTCGAAGCATTTTTTTTGATTGGTTAATTATAATTAGTAAAATTCTTTTACTCTTATTGATTAATTAAATTATGTACTTTGACGTAACGTCGTCAAAAATTGGACTGTTTCTTTTTATAGCTTTATAAATTTTACTACATGCTGTCATAATTTATGTTACATTTGGAGCAATTATTCTTTATTGGTTTAAAATAGTGACGCGAACAAAAAGACTGCTATATATAGTTTTGAATATAAGAGTGAATGTTAAAATTTTAATATATTCTCTCAGAAGATAAATTGAAAATATATTCCTTTTTGACGTGCCTTTTCCATCTATTTACATTTGTCTTTATCTGATTAAATAATCTTTCATCTATAGCTGAATTTATAATTCATTAATGCAATATCAAAATGTGTGCATATTTTCAATGGGCGTGGATTGAGGTGACTAGCGTACCATTGGGATTTAACTTCTCGATACTCCATTACATGATGAAACAGTTGAATATCTAAGTAATAATCTTGATACGAAGAACTGACTTAAAATAATGAATTTATTATACACCATACGTATATGTGTATCATTTTTATAAGTCAGTTATACATATACATATACAGTAGCGCCTGCGAAGCGCTCCGAATCATTTGTCTAGATTTGATATATGTCGGTAGCATGGTTCGTTTCCTAGACAATGAAAAAAGGGAACGTCATGCGCCATCTCTGTGGAGATCATGATATTATTATTCAAAAATTATTTAATTTATTTTATAATAATTTAATAAAATGCAAAAATGAATAGTATATGTACCTTATATTGTTTACGAATTTTATATTCTTCCGTCATCATGATAGTATAAATTTGCAAACATATATAGATAATCTGTCATAACGATTTCTTTATCGTCATCATATGATAATACATACATTATACATTAAATATGTATAAAAAATGCGACGATAAAAGGTTCTTTTTAATTTAATAATTTAATATATTATATCGATTAATTATATTATATCGAACGGCAAGAAAGAGAATCACAGTATAAGATAATGTCGATGACGCACACAGTTATCGCGCATGCACGCTAGGCTTTGTTGTATACGATTAAATGCGAACACCAGAGTCAGCCTTGGCTAGGCGTCTGACGACCAAACCAGTCAGTGGCCAACCGGCGTCGACCAGACCTCGGTGGTCGGCTGAAGTCGGTTATAGTCGTATGCGAACTGAGAGTCGGTCGATGCTCCGTCAATTTTACAATAGATGACACGTAGACATAAACGAGTGTTATCATTCATAAAATCACAAGGAATACACAGTAGTTTAGTGAACTCCTGGACGCGATGCGTTTGTGATCACTAATGGTGACGTTGTGACGAGTTGCTTTCGCGATTGCTAAAAAGCGTGCTGGAAAGTGCATGTTGCTCTCTTCAGGGTTCGATTGGTCCGAAAACAGCTGGGTGAAAGTTCTTAAAAGGGGATGCTCCGAAACAGTGCATAAGTGTGCTCATATATAAGGTACTTTCTATTTTCTACTACATGATTTACTAAATTGAGGCGAATGCGGAAATGAATATAAACGGAATGATAATAAACACGTGAGATTGGCTAATAAAAAGAATTATATAAAATATTATATCAAAAAAATTACTGATAAAGTTAGCAACATATATATATTCATTGTAAGCGTAAGATTGTCTTATCGTATAATATCAGCATTGTCGACAACAATTATTGTAAACGGAAGCATGAGCCATCGTATCGCTACCAAGGACGGTAGCTCATGATGCTGTGTGTTGACTCAGATCCATTAACAATACATAAATAACTTTATGAACAAAATATTTCTACGAAATTTTTTATGATTAAGATTCTGTAATATAGTATAGTCAAATTTTCTATTACACTTACTTATTTTTAAAAGTAAACAAAAAGTCTATGAATAAATCACATAAAAGATAAATGAAAAATTTTAAGATATTTGTACAACACAGTTATTAGTATTTAAAAAATTTAAAAAGTTTACTATTATTATTTACGATTGCGGCATTATTTATGATAAGATTATCTATAATAAGTAATGCTTATTATATTTTTATAATTGTTATTCATATATGTAATATGTAATATGTTATGTTATATCAATTTGGAGGTTCTTATAAATATTAACGAAAATTTTTAAATTTAGAATATATGTAGATACGTTACTTTTGTTTTACGATTGGTATTATCTACCGGATTATTGCACAAGTGCACAAGACCTCTCAGGCACACATGTGCAATCATACTTTCTGGAAGATAAGAAAAAATTCGAAAAGATTTGAAACCGTACTTATGTATTGTAGTCTAACAAATATTGTATCATCTCTTATACTAAATATGTTAAATATTAATAAATATATTAAATTAATATATTTATAACTTTAGTTGGCTAATCATTTATTAACAAATAAAGAAAGTAATTTTACGTTTTAGTTGCTATAACGTTCTGTAATTAATACTTATTTCCATTTTATTTAAAGCTGCAAAGTGATGTAATTTAAATTATATATATTATATAGTAATTAATATCAATTTTTGGATTAGTCTGCACGTCATAGAAGTCAAATAATCAATAATTAATTAATAAATATTAGCAGTTTCCTGAAATTCTATTTTAGCGTTTTTAATATATTTTTTTCAAATTACTTTAAAAATTTATATGAGAAAAATCTAGCCGATACAATAACTTTATACAGAAAGAGCAAAAAGTATTCGTACAAAAACATTTTTTGTAAAAAAAAGCCTGATTTGTAAAAAATAAATATTAATTAGCAATTTTACGGTTAATAAATTTAGTTTTAACATAAACAAATAAGCTTCGCGTGTATCCCTGATTTTTATGCTAAATTTTTCGATTACTTATATGTTTTGAGCGGCCAGAAAATCATTTTTAAATTTTTGAGAAACATACAGTTTATTTTATTCTTTATTAATAAATTATTAATTATACCCAGCAACAAATAATCATTAATTAGACATGGAATCGACGTAGAATTGGTATCGGAATTATCATATCATCTTATCAATTCGGTATCTATTCGATGAATCATTCCGTACCGGATAATGTTTACTTTTAAAAATAAGTTTTTTAAATATTTTTGTTTATACTTTTAAAAATAAGTTTTTTAAATATTTTTGTTTACTTTTAAAAATAAGTTTTTTTAAATATTTTCTCTATACGAATTCTCTTTGTACTTGCTGTATATATTTTACAAACTAAATAACAGTTTTAGACATAGAGATAATCTATATCAACAACATATAGAAATCTAGTGTAATGTTTCACACTGCACTTTATTCTTTGAATGTGCACACTCATGATTAATCTCTTATTATGATGCGACACGCATCTTTACACGGAATATATCGACTTGGCACGCAACATTTCATATATTACTACATATTACGAAACCGCTTATTTACAATTTAATCAAAACATAATTTTCTGTATTAAGAATTAACAAGAAATAAAT